TCCTGCTGCTGCAATTGGCACTTTCTAGCCATGAAGGGATGATTTAATAACTGCCATGCCAGACGTTCTAAAGCAGGTGAAATCAGTGGAAAGGAAAGAACTAGAAATATTCACAGGAAAGGGATATGAATCATTCTCTTTCTTGGTCAACGGCAGCTCCAACAAATGCAAAGTTGTTTTTTTCTTTTTCCCAATGTGGCATTCCTCCGTATATTAAATTGAATAAGAGCATGATTCTTAAAACCAAAATCTTCCATGCTGGAGGAAACTTATCAGTGTAAATCATGACAATTTATAAAGAAGGCAGTTTTGATTTTTTTATAAGATTACTTACCATTATTATATTTTAGACCCATTTGTATTAGCCAATTTACCATTTATATTAAATAGCCAATTAACTTACCAGTTATATTAACTGTCTTTTTGAATAAAGGGCACGTTTCCAAAGAACAATTCAACTAACGTGAGACAATTGTGAGTGGAAATGTCCAATATGGACAAATGTAAATGAATACGCATGAATGTTCTGCCAGAGTAAACGGGAGAATGAAGGTGTCGCTCTCTGATAGAAATGGTGGAATAAGGAATCTTCAGTAAGGTTTACCCCTGCAATAGGCTACAAAGAAATTCTCTTAGAAAAGTAATACACATAGGTCACACACCCTTTTCACCTCCAGATTCCCTCTTCCTTTATTCTAACCTTGTACCCCAAGGTCCAGTCTGAGAGGAAGCAGGTTTCCTGCCCTTTCAGAGACCACTTTCAGAGCTTTACCTGTGCTCTTGGGTCACCTTCCCTCCCATCTCCTCTGGGGCCTTTTGCTTTCCATTATTTCTATTATCTTCTATTTTTCTCCATTAGTCCATATTTCCATTTATCCATGAGTTTCTCCCTCTCCACCTATAAAACAGCTCAAATGCTCCAACATCCTAACATTAATAACCATTTCCTTGACATGGCTTCCCCTTCAAATCATCCCTTTCTTGCTCTTATTCCTTTCATCTAAAAACTCTATCTGCCTCTGCTTCCCGGTCTCTTAACTGCATCTTCTCCATTCACTGTGGACTGGCTTCCTGATCTCCTGTACCCACTCCTGCACCCATGGATCCATGAGGCCTCATCCATAGTTCTGAAGTTCAAAATGCTCTGAAGACAGAAAGTGTTTTTTTTTTTTTCTTAACTTATTTGACAGTAAAACCTGACTAGAACTGACCTGAGGCTATTTGCAGTTTTTATTCATCCTGAGTAGTGTGACTGTTCATACTTCTCACTGCAGACTTATGAATATGCTTGTAACCGATGGTATATGTGCTGTTTTACCTTTCCAAAGTCTGAAAATTGCTGAATTCTGAAGCAGTGGCCCACAGGTTTCAGATGCAGGCTTCCGGACCCACACTGTCAAGTCCAACAGCTCTTCTGACACCTGTCCACCTCACTGTCATTGACGGCTGCCCTTCCCTGTCTTGCCTCCCGAGTCCCTCTTTCCTGCTACTCTTGGATCTTTCGACAGCAAATTCTGCTGGCTCCTCTTCCCCTGTCCACTCTTTAAATATAACTGTGTCCCCTACGATTTTGATCTCTGATCTCTTATTTTCTCAGTCTGTACTTTCTCCTGGATGATGTCATTCACTCACAAGATTTAAGAACCTTCTATATGTAGACACATGCCTCCCAAATCTACATCCTAAATATCGACGTCTGTTTAGATATCCAAAAATACATTTCAACCACCAGTCCTACTGGCCCTCCAAACCTAGCATGTACAAACACAAGCCTTCATTCCTCCCTCTTTGTTCCCTGCCTTAGTCAATGGTATTATCATCTACCACCTGCCCAAGCTAGAAATCACAGTGTCATCCTTCTCTCCATAACACCATTCAGTCATTGTCTACATCCTAGCAATTCCATCTCCAAAAGACATTTTAGCATTAGTCTCTTCTTTCCTAACTGCAAAAATGCTGATGTGTGACTGCAAATTAGAATTTGCCCAAGAGAGCAGTTACAGAACATTTGTAGGATTGGATAGCCTGCTGAAATCTAAACTTTTTTGCCCCTGGTTTGCTCCCGATGACTGAAGTCTATCCAAATACTTCTGTGGTTACAGAAGTTCCAACAAAGCCAAGACAGCCCTTGGTACAGAAACAAATCTACAAAGAAGGCACAGCTCTGTTGAGCCAGGCATCAGGGCAGGTCCTTTGCTCTGAATTCAAAAGCATTCCTCCAAGGCAGATCAAAAGAAAAGCCAGCTCTGTTTTGGTTCTGGACATGATGTGTGGGCTCAGTTTGTCTATATTCCTCATTAAGTGTTGTAGATAATTCAACTGAGTGACTGAAAGATATTTTCTAAAGGCCTAACTGGATGAAACCTGTGTTACACCTAGGAATCTATAGAATGAAAGAGCTGTACAGATAATCCGAGACTGACTTATCTGGTACCAGTCTAAAAATTCAGTTGTGTCACTTCTGATATCTCTCAGTATAAATTTTGAGATAAACATTGTGTTAAAACATAACTATGTCCTGATTTCAGTACTACTTTTTACATTTTTATACAGTGTCTATCTCTATAAAAAGGATAGAGATACAAGTACACATTAAGCTTACATGTAATTTACCCTGTTTTCTGAGGAGCCAGTAAACAAGGCTGTGGGCTCATTAGGATGCAAACCTGAGCCTAGATACAACCCCAAGACCGTTTGAATCCAGTCTGTTAAAACACTTGGGAGAACATTAAATAGTAGTAAAGACTGCCTGTGATTCTTCCTGTAGCATCACACCCCTGGAGCAATAGGGGAACCCCTGATGGACACAATGGCAGGACCAACACTAGGTTTAGAGACAGAATTCAATCTGAACATTTGGAACTGGAAAGTCAATAGAATAAGCTCAGTGAAGGCTCCAGAGAGAGCATTTGTGCTGTTGTTCCAGGGCTCAAACGTACAGATCAGAGTGTCTGTGAAAAAGAAGGTGTTGATGGAATTAAGGCAAATAGTAGACATTTAAAAAAGAAGAAAAAGTTGAACTATTAGATATATTGGTTTAATGAGATTATGTCATATCAGGACCAATAGTATTGCTTTCTCTAACGAAAAGTGAATATAATCACTCATATCTACTGTTGTTATCCGTAATGACTTCGTTTCCGTTACATATTTTTTCCTCAGTTGAAAACAAGAAGCTGACCTTTTGCAAGTGGGAAGATCAGCTTTTTCCTTATTGGCATTTATAATATTGACTGTTGCATTTAGCAGTACTAATTTAAAGTCTAGACTTCAGGGCAAAAGAGGCTCTTTGCAGCCTATCACCACCTGCAACAACCTAGCCATCCCACAGCGACAGTAACACCCTGCGCTTATACAACCTGGAAAACATGATAGCAAGTGAATTCACTTGCCTCCAAAATGTCATCATTTCAAGCTACAGCTCAGAAATCCTTTGGTTCTAGGAATGTTCTATATGCTTCTAGGACCATCTAAGAATTCATAATAATTGGACCTTAAAAACTAGGTGGGGGGGAACTTATTGTATTTCTCAGATACTCTAGTTAAAAACTTGGTTTGGCTTATTAGTGAACCAACAGTGAACTGATTAGTGAAGCTAACAGCAGCTTTGTACAGTCACTTGAGGATCTAGAGAAATGTCTGGGTCCTTGCAGTCCCTACCTTGACTACTCCCACAAACACGAGATTATTCCCCCCATAAAGGGGCAAAAATCCTTCTCAAATGATAGGCAAGAAATTGATCTGTAGCTAAAGAAATCATTTTTTCCTGTGTGAAACAAATTTCTTGACTCAAGCAACTGCTCCATGAATGGATAAAATAGAATTTAAAAGGAAAAAAAAAAAAAAAAAGACCCGCAATGCTGGATAGTGTAAAATGTTTGAACACAAGAAAATGGTTAAACATCATTTCCTCCATTTGTAAAACATCATTTTATCATTTTTGTGGGAAAATCCCCAATTCTTTATTTTATCTTGGTGAAACGTGAGCACAGCATAGTTAACATTGGTAGGTTATTTTTTGGAAGTCAAAAAATAAGAGAATTTTAATTCTAGAAGAAGCATTCTACCCTTGGCATAATTCTATGCCTTTGGATTATATCAATGGCTTACCATATGAGCACTTAGATAACTCTTATGAACACTCTGAAATTATTATATCATGCATGATACAACGTGGTACCTGAACAGAAGTGAAACATGGACCTCACATCCATCAGTCCTCATGTTTCATTGCAGCAGAGTGTGACTGTAGAAGGCATTTGGCTTAAACATGAAATAAAGCATTTACCAGGCTGAGTATAGGACACTTCTGGACTTGGTGATGTCTTTGGCTTCGGAGTAACACGCTGGAACACCTTAGGAGCTGAAAGAGAGAGCTCGGATCATGAGTCATTTGGTTTTAGCATCTCCCAGTCTTGCTTAACACATAAGATATGACAAAGTATAAGGCTGATTACTGATTTTAAAAAAGTATTGAAATGGGATTTAGATGGAAAAATAAACCTTAAGCTCTAAAAACAGATCAGTTAGAATTCCAGATACTTTAAGAAAAATGAAATGTGAGAAACAGCAAAATTTGACTAAGCATAAGAACAGGATGCATAATTTTTTTAAAACGTCATTTCAGAAGAGATAGCAATTTAATTAATGCAAGAGTGTTCTTCTTTTGTGGATGTTTGCTTGACTTCTTAAACCCATCCCCATGTCTTTCTGTGAAGATGAATTCAGTGAAGTCAGAATGGGAGCCCATGAAGTATGGGAAAGAGCAGCTTAAAGTCAGCTCAGCAACAGCAGAAAGAGAAGTGGGCAACGGAATGGAAGGGGTAGGCTCGCATTCTACATCCCTGGCAATTGTTAGGCTCCAAATAAACCTTTAAAGGACATGTTCACAAACCAAAATTGTCTTTCCACAGCTGTTCCTTTGGAGTAACAAGGTGCAATCAAATGTAATAGATACTAGGAAAAAAAAAAAAGGTCTACTTTATTTATAGCTCATTTTACAATTTCAAAAGTACTTTCATAAGGATTATGCCCTTTGATTCTCACTGTACTGCTGAGAGGAAGGAATTATCAGCTTCACTTTAAAGCTATTTGCCTGGGGTCACGTGATCATTAAGCACCAGAGACAAGACCTGAACACTGAGGTCCAGACATGACTGCTAGGTCCCAACACTTGGGCTCGCTATATCCCAGCTCTGCAGGTCACATTTTAACTTGTTCCTCATTTTTTTAGGTGGAATTAATAAACCGGCCCTAACTGAAAGGGTGATTGTGAGAATTAAGTGTGAAATGTCAAAATGATGTGAAAGCTATACCCCTACACATATCTGTTTCTACTTCTGGAGAATCTTTACAAATTTGACATTGAAGGATCTGAGTATATTTTGCTTTTCACATTGTTTGCCCCCTCAAGAATTAGGAGCAATTTTGATGGTTATAAGATTTCTAGATATAAAATCATTAGCAGGACTGTTCATTATCACTTATGAACATAGGAATCTAAAAATCAAACCTGGGCTTCCCTGGTGGTGCAGTGGTTGAGAGTCCGCCTGCCGATGCAGGGGACACGGGTTCGTGCCCTGGTCCGGGAGGATCCCACATGCCGCGGAGCGGCTGGGCCCGTGAGCCATGGCCGCTGTGCCTGCACGTCCGGAGCCTGTGCTCCGCAGCGGGAGGGGCCACAACAGTGAGAGGCCCGCATACCGCAAAAAAAAAAAAAAAGAGAGAAGCCCACGCACCGCAACGAAGAGTAGCCCCCACTCACTGCAACTAGAGAAAGTCCGCATGCAGCAACAAAGACCCAACGCAGCCAAAAATAAATAAAATAAATATTAAAAAAAAAAAAGAAATAAAAATCAAACCTGTATTTTAATGATGAAATATTCTTGATGGTTTCTTCCAAATTTTTGATCCCACTATCCCCTCAAATGCCAAATATAGTAAATTTAACTTTTGCTATCTAATTTATCAACATAGTTTAAGTATAAATGAGGTGGCATGCCCAATTACAGAATTTCATTCTGAAAACAGTGGTAGATGAATACATTGCATTGCTCTTTAAGTTGTACACACTATTGTTAGATGATGCCCTTATAGCCCAACAATAATAATTTGCGTTTGGTATTGATATTGCACGTACAAACAGAACATTCTCCCATTCAAATGGCCTTTTGAAATTCACAACAGCTAGCCAGGGGTAAGGAGGGAGTACTACTAGGGTTTAAATATTTGTTTTTGAACTACTGAGTGATACATATGTATACATACACAAATATCCTTGAAAGACTATAAAAACCTAGGGTATTGCTGGGATCTATTAAGTAAAGCTCATATTTTCCTGGGTAAGAGAGATCCTAATTTCACCCACTTTTAAGAGGAATAAGTAGAGTGCATTTTTTCATGATCAATTTTCCAAATAGTCCCCTTACACTAGGTTGCCCTGACAAAGCTAGAAGTGTTTGGATTGTAGCTACTTTCCAGGGGAGATGCTGATGGGCTGGGAGTTTGCTCATGATGCTCTCTTGTTATAGCCTGCAGTCACTCCAGGCTTTCAGAGTGAGAGTGGAACCACTGAGCGTATGCATCTATCCATTCTGAAGTTGCTTACCTTGTCGAGGAAGGTTAGCTAAAGGTCTAAATCAAAATCAAACAAAGTTGAAACTTAGAATACAGTGTCATAATGGGAAATTAGAGTAAGCTCCTGATTTACTATATTGTATTTGTATAAGTGCAGAGTATGGCTCAAAAAGATAAAATTATGAATAAGTCTTCCTTCTTAGTTCATATCTCCTTTACTTTTTAAAATGTTACTAATGAGGACTTTATATCCTCAATGTTTTAACTTCCAGCACTTCTTGTTTCTCATCTTTTCTCTTATTTTCCATCATTCATTGTTTTATGCTTTCTTATTTCTTTCCATTTCTCCTTTTTCTGCCTCATTTGTTCTATGCTTTATATTCACATAAAAGGTTGAGCTTCTTCTCGTGATTTTATCTGCTGATTTCTTAGATTTTAGTTTCCTATCCACAAATTTAATATACTTGCTTTGTTTTTTATTCTTATTCTATTATTCATTACTTATTCACTAATCATCAATTATTTTCCCCAGTATTTCTTATATATTAATAGTTCAAATTTATTTCTTGTTATTATTTTAAATTTCTTATTCTTTCAGATGATTGTTGCTTTGGTACCTTCATCTACTTACATATCACACCCATATTATTTTTTAGCAAAGTTTTAGTAATTAAAAAAAACATATTTTAAAATACATTAAAGCAGACTTAAAATCATTAGCTAGATGTAGTAAATGGAACTGTTTTTTAAGGAGTTTTCCTTCAAAGAAAAAGCAATAGGTAAAATTTCTCTCGGAAATATTAAAGAAAGTGTTAATACCTCTCAGATATTAAAGACCATCCCCACATCTACAGTGTTTTTCTTTCAGTAGGGATACTGAGATATGATTAAAGAATTTGTGCCGGTAATTCAGAGCTACTACCTAGATCAAGCATAATTTTGATGCTGCTAACGTTTTCCTTTCCCCAGACCACTGGTTATAGTTAGGGTTCCTTTCCTAGTAAATTGGGTAGGTGCACTTCATATGCTTTTTGGAAGTGGGCCATGTATAAAAAATAAATTTAGATTTAGGGGACTGGCCTAGACTATAACTTCCTTGACTACAGAAGGATGAAATTTTGTTTCACATTCCCAGTGTCTAGCACATTGTCTGGTGTGAGGTCAGCATGCAATAAGTAGTTGTTAAGTGACTAACTGATGAAATGAATTAATCAGCCACTTAAGCACAAAGGATGGTACAATTTTAAATTAGGAGAGAAGAGAGACAGGAGATCAGTTGATTCATGACAATAGACTAGGCATGACTGTGTATATGCTTGGAGTAGGGACCAATGTTAGAGATGTCTGGAAAAACTGATGGACTGCAGAGGCCGGATGAGGAAGAGGTTAAAAATCGATGTAAAATGCTCAGGATCTGCAACAGATATAAATGAGAAACTGAAAGGAGGCAAAGATGAGCTTTCTTTGAGGCATGTCAATTTTATGGTAGCCTGAAATGGAGATCTGCCAAGGCAGTCAGAGGAATTGGACAAGATCTTGGTTGATAAGTTAGGGTTAGAGTTAATCATTCAATCATTCAAGTAAGAGCTTCTTGAACAGAATAAAAAATAGTTTATAATGACTCTTGTTTAGGTCCTTCCCAAAATTCCTAGCAAAACAACCAAAGCAATATTATGTTATTATTTTACAGGAGAGGATATATATTAAAAATCTTCATGACCTAATGTTAAATAAAATTGACTGAAAGGCCAAAAAAATTAGGTGATTGGCAGGGGGAGGACATTCAAGGACCATGGAAGGTTCTCTCAAGCTGCGAGAAGTGAAGGGAGTAGGCAGGCTACTCTTTTAAGAAATTCCATTCTCCTCCATCCCCCTCTCAAATAATATAACAAAAGGGAAGCTTCTGGAATAAGCTACTCCAATAATATACTTTTTGATAAAGTCTAAAAATAAATGTAAATATTTATTAGGTTTCAAAGGAAGTCTTATTTTATAAGGGTTAAAAACCTAACTTGCTATAATTCAACAGAGTAACTCCGCTAATATCAAAATTTTCAGGCCAGAATAATAAAATAAGTATTTACCTGGCTGTGTCGGTGGGATTCTTAGACGTGGAGATATTTTTGGTTTGGGAGGAGCTCGCGGTGTCTGCTTGGGCACTAAAAGAAAGGATATAGGTTCGGAGCTCTTGAGGTCTTCAAGTGTCACAGTACCTAAACCTCTAGGATCTCAAAGATGTTTGTTGAGTAATTGAAGACCTAAATACACAGCAATTAAAGTTCCCAAAGAGCCACAAAGTATAAGAAGGTAATTTTCTTATTATAATGGAAAAAAAAAAAACACCAAGGCAGCACATTAAAGATATCCAAGATATTCAGCTGGCAAATGAAACTGTTGGAATTTTAGAAATATCCACTTCAAATACCTATTAAATAGGTTAAAAATAAATTTCATAATAAAATAATTCATCATTATAAGTTCACATCGTTTTATCAGAATAACCCAGTATAATATTTTAAGTGCAAAGAGATACAATTTCTTCTAAATAAAAAGCACATTACATTCCAAATATACCTAGAAAATGAATGTATCTTAATAGTAAGTGCTAATGGAAAAAAATTAATCTTATTAAACAAAACACAATTTTTATTGGTCATATTGGAGAAGAAAAATTGAACAGAAATTGAAAGGATACATTATTGAAGAAAGTTATTCTTCTGCTGAGCAATTCCCAAAGAAGTTCTAGGACATTCAGTGTAAAAAATCAATTATTTCTTCACCAAGAAAATTAAAAGTTTATCCTGCTGGAGGAAAAGAATTATCAAATGAAAGATCGCAGCTTGTGGAAATACCTTGTTTGGTTGGGTTCAGTGTGTTTGGGATAAAGAGAGATAAGAAGAAACAAAATGGTTTTCAAGGTCACAGAGTTTCAGGCACCTTAAGAAAAGCTTGCTGAAAATAAGAGTTATTAGATAAAAGAAGAAGCTGAGTCTGTAGGGACTTCTTCCTGATAGTGAGTCAAAATATACAAGGCATGCAATGGTTTCAGTGGAATCTTCTTGCCTGTGGAGAGATGAACAAGATATGTTGGAGATTACACTGGTTTAGGAGCCTGGAGCTGGGAGATTTAGAGTTCGCTTTGTGGATCACTCGGTCTACAACATTGGGTTCTTCATCAACAGTAACAGGATTTTTAAGAGCCCTTCCAACCCTAAAATTCTATATTTCTACAATGTCCTTAGTCTTGTGATATTCTGACTCTGAACTGCTTTGCTTGCCGAAGTTCGTACTGATAGGCTATTTGCTTCCCCAGGGTATAAGAGACCATCTTGCAGGTAAAGACATGTCATGAGGCAATTCTATAAAAAATGATTCAGAATGAGATTAGTATCACTGATAGTATCTACGATTAAATATTTCAATCATATTAGTGATTAAAGCTATTTAACAAAACTTCAGAAAAGTTAGAGATAATTGACACAGATCCAGCTAATGCAGTCAGTGTGGAATTTTGGTAAAAATTAAACTGTAGAGTTTAATAGGCAAAGGATATTAACAGGATTTAACAGGACATTTTAGAGGACAATGAATAAAATTAATATCCATATCTCCTTTGGAAATAGAGCCATATAAAATAGTTTAATGGCCATCAAAATACAAGTTTGGGCTTATTTATGATAAACTGACATTCCAAGAGAGCCTGCAGATATTGAGAAAATTTTCCCTTGTAAGCAGCATATTTAGTTATCCGCATTGATGATTTGTTTTCCCATATTTCAAATTCCACCATCAAGTAAACCCTTATGACTTGCCAAGTAACCAGTTTGACTTCAGTTTCTCTTATTTGTATGCAGTGAAATGGCCAAACTGCCACAGGAAGGAGCAGTAGAAAGTAGTAAGGGACCTGAATAATGACAAGATGACTGACCAATTGTACCCTTTTTTGTGGAATGCTCCAGTATTTCTGGAGGTTTTGGTTAATCTTAAACAAATTAACTATCTTAAAATAGTTTTTATATGACCACAGACCTTGTAAAACTAGTCAAGATGATAAAGTATTTAAAATTGGGATATTTATATTTTAAAAAGAATATAAATGTTCTTCCCCAGAAACATTACTATTTTCTATATGAAAGACTTGCAGAGCAGCTGAGAGGTGTTTTTCAGTTATATCCTAAATAATGTTCACAACACTGCCATATGACTGGCTATAGATTATGGATAGAAGGAGGAGTGGGGCATCAGAAAGGTAGGGTCAAATACTGTGAGCAGTGATTAAGTTAGGGCTTTTGATAACTAGTAATAGTGCCCATATATATTGTCTTTCCATTCTTGTAAGTTCTGCAAACACTCACCTTCTACATGAAACACAAAATAACGTATTTACCCGGTTCGGTCTGAGGCTCATCTGGGCTGGGTAGGATTACAGTTTGGGAAGGCAGAGGTGATGTTTCTACGGTAATTGAAGGAAAGTACCCAGGGTTACTATAGCACTTCACACACCTTGAGTACAGATGACAGAACAGATGGTAACAAGTGGATTTTAAAGAAAAAAAGAAAGCAAATTGCAAGTCTACAGCAAAATAGCACTCCTGCTTCTTCATAATGCATTTAGTTTAAAAGCTGCTTAGAGATGCCAGGTTACAAAATACTTTCAAGGTAAGCAATAGCCTTACTTTTTAAATCCTCACTCCACACTAGTACATCCCCAACAGTGCTAGAAAGATAGGTTCAGGAGGAACCATAAGGAGAAAAATAAATTTAAAATGTTAAGGCATAAGCCATTCAGCAGCACTGAATTTTGTTTAACTAATGAAGAAAAAAATCAAACATGTAAATGAATGTGATGAAATGAGTGTTAATGGAAAGTATGTTGCTAGGGCAGAAGGTATAAATGGATCATCATACAAAAAATATTATCTGAAGTATTCAACATAATACCAAGCTGGCAGAATGTTTAACATTAGGAAAAAAGACACTTTAGATTTGACAGTTTCAGTGACTGAAGTAGAGAGAGACCAAGGTCTAGATACAAAGCTGAATGGGAGAAGACACTTTTTGGACAATGGTTATGAATAGAAGCACCTAGAAAGAAAATTAACTGCCATGACAAAGAATGATGTTGCAACATGAATTCACAGTGAGGGAGAACCTGGGTTCTCAGGTGATGGCGACAATGAGGGCAAAAACTGCCAGGGTGTGTCATTACCTAGCGTGATCTCAGGTGGTTCAGACACATTTGTAATAGATTCCACAACTGTATCAAAACAAAGGAGAACAATTTTAAAAAGCTTAAGATGTTAGGCCACAGTCAAGTATCTCTTTCTTGAATATCAACACACCTCATTCTCTTGAGAATCTGCATCACATTTTTACAGATAGGACAATGGATTAGGATAAGAAAAAAGAATCAAGAGGGAAATCCTATTCTATAACCCTAATCCTCCAACTAATATTTATGTTTTAACTGTCATTAACTGTCAAATTTATTATGCCTCAATATTTAGATACCACAGAGAAACTGAAATTTCTGCATTCAGAGAGTCACTTATCATTTTAAGAATTCAAGAATTTTAGAAGATATAGCCTTCAAAGCTATTCCACTGTAGATCAACTAACCCAGCTTGAACTTTCAAATTCCATGAAATGTGATACTAATTAAAAATTTTTTGAATAAAAAATAGAAGCATGGAAACCTTTACCACCTTCAGTCTTTGGCTCTTCTGGCCTGAGTGGTGCTTTGGCAGTGGAATATACATAATCTATTTCAGTTGGTGCTAGGGAAGAAACAGGGAATGGCGGGTTAGTGGTGGACAGCCCATAGCACCCACTTTAATGGAACACTGTTTAATTTTAAAACAGAAGTTAATTAAGTAGATAGATTTGTGAGAGTAGACAACATTTAGGTAGATTATGAAGATGACCACAATGAAGGCAGGAAATGAAGGCAGTGTGCAGTGTGGAACACATACACACACACATGATAACTGGCAGGGTCTACAGCGATTTCTACCTGGAGCAAAGCAGATAATTTCACTTCCTTATTTTTGTTTAAGGATTCTAGTGAGAAAAAGACATAGAGTGAATCCTTTGAAAGCATGGGGATGAATCCTAAAAACAATATGAAAATGAAAAATAGGATGTGCATGTTTGTATTAAAAGTGATCAGGATATTAAAATATGAAATTATGCATTAACAGTGAGAGGAAACTAAGCAAGGAAATTGTGAAACTTGCATAGCAACACGACAGATACTAGCAAAATGGGCTGTATAAAACATTTGACTGTCAAGTTTCACTGGATGAGCACAGGCAATACGTGAGGAGCCATGAAATGTCACAAAGCATGAGGACATCCCAAAATGACTTCCACAATGAGATGGAAAAGCACATATACCTGACTTCCCATTGGGGAACATTATTACCTATAGCTTCCTTTGATGACTCAGTGCTAAATGTAACCGATTCCAGGACTTCAGAAACTAGCAAAAAACACAAAATGGTAAAATTGATCAAGGATGAGTTGTTGTGAGCATTGAATGAATTCATACAAACTAAGTATTTAGACAAGTGCCTTGTACCTGTAAGTGCTCAATGTCAGCCGTTACCATAATAAAAATAGTACTATTAACCCTAAAGAAAACTCTAATAACTGAATTCAGAATTTTATAAGTATTATAAGTTATCATTAACAACCATAGAACCTTGTTCCATCAACATAAGCATCAAAATGCCATTTAGTTAATTAAGAGATACACAAAAGGAATGAAAAGAAATTACAATCCTATGTTAAAAATAAGACCTGGTGTTTCAAAATAAATGCCAGAGAGTTGCAATAGCATTGAAAAGCATAATCTTTAAAATTTGTTTTTAATTTTGAAGGGCAATAATGTTTAGGCTCATATTGTGTAAGGTGAAATTTTGTTATCTTTACTGAAGTGAGAACTTTCTCCTTCCTTAATGGTCACAATTGAATGAGCATTCTTTTCACATAGTAGAGCAGAAGTTTATCTTATTAGTAAAGAGAACCACAAGTCTTAGTGAAAATATAAGGTAAAGAATAGAATCAGTTCTTCTAAGTGGTTCTGTTGACTACTTAATCAGATATGTGATGATTCTCTAATATTATACAGAGTAAACCCAAATGAAGATAAGTATTTCTATACAGTTGAATAATATAATTAATATGAAATAATGTATACTAATTTACACCAGTATGTAATCATGGAAGGAGCATGTACAATATACAGAGTTGTTAAATGTGTATTCTTTTGTATTTTTTAATATTTGGAAATACAACACTTGGGGTATGCCCCCTGAAGCTCATGGTGTACCCAGATAGATTAAATAATCTATTTACCAGGTTGACTTTGTGTCATTTCTAGGCTTGGTGATGTCACTGGTTTCAAAATAAGAGTATGCAGTTCAGTGGGAGCTGAAAGAAGAGGGTCTAAGTTGTCAAACTAATTATGGATAATTTATTTCACAGGCAGCAACACATAGACCTTCAGAATCACAGGGTTATGGAGAGGCAATGCAGAGTATGCATTATTTAAAGCAGAGATTGGCAAATTATGACCCTCCCGAATCCAGCCCTCTTCCCGATCTGTGAGCTAAGAGTGATTTTTACATTTTTAAATTATTGAAAAAAAAATTAAAGGAAGAGTAATAATCTATGACATGTAAAAATGGTATGAAATTCAAATAAAGTTTTATTGGAACACAGCCACACCTACAAACTAAGATGATTCAAGGTGTATTTACATATCACTTACATCTTGGCTTTGGTTACCTACAAGCTACAACAGCAGAATTGAGTAGCTGTGACAGACTGAATGGTCTACAAAGTCTAAAATATTCACTATTTAACTCTTCACATAAAAAAATTTGCTGATTTGCTGATCCCTGATTTTAACTATCCTTCTAGAAAAAGGAAGAGCCTATTTGAAAAACTGAGGTTCTCAATGACTACTGTATCTGAATCTATATTCCCACAAGGGCATTCTAAGTATTTCCTACAGCTGGTTTCATGACAGTATCATTAACAAAATGTTCAGTATCATCTAGGAGTGTTTTATTCTATGTCCCAGTTTGACCATCCCCTTGGGTACCCTCAATAGGTGTCAAAACTTTTTTATTTTGCCGTTCCCACCATTCCAACCACTAATTCAAATCCTACTTAATTTCAAAGCTCATTATTCTCTATCAGCCCACATAGATCCTTGACTCCTTTAAGTATTTTCTTTCTAAACAAGCTGCTTTTGTATAAGCAAATTATCTTCTATCTAAGGAAAACTCAAGAACAGGTTTCCTTCACAATTATATTGTACTTTATTCAAGAGGTAAAACATGCCCTTACTTTTGATCTCTTCCTCTGCTCTACACCCTACCCTACTCAACTGCTAATGTGGTGCTGGGACCACAGAGGGCAAGGAAATGGTTGTTTACCTAAGACAAAGAAGCAATGCTATTTTAAGAAATGAATGGAATAGAATGCTAAGAGAATTGAATAAGATGCATCTTTTGTCAGAGAGAATCCTTATGCATTTGGCTACCATATAAATCTCCAACCATGAACCTTCTTGTCCACATGCAATTGTAGAGCTTCTACCTTCTCTGTTAGAGGGCACAGAGGTGGGAAATGCAAGTTAGCAAGCCACATCACTGTCACTCTTGGGGCCCAACTGCAATGGGCTAGAAGGACTCCTTAAACAGAGAACCATAGATTTTCTTGATTTTTAAACTGTGAAGCTTTGGGAAATTTAGTGTTTGGGAGAAGGATTTTTTCCCCTGTGATTTGAAACTAAAGGAAGAAAATCTTAAGTTGCTATTGTATTTGTAGGTCTAGAAACCATCAACAGCATTGTACCTGTACCAATGTTTTGTAAAATACTAGATTTTCTTGAGTTTATTGCCTGAGTTTGAAAAATTTTACTTTACCAATCTAATTTGTTCCTTATCACTGAGGGTCTTTTAGAGACCAAAATAATAACAAAATTTGTTAATTTAAAGGTATAGGTATTAATGTGTATAATTAGATACTCAGAGAGATTCCTACTTAGTAAAGGTTAAGAACCAATGTTAAACTGTGGTGGAGAATAAGGAATAGTCAAGTTCATCAATGATGCGGGAGTCTGTAACTTAGATTCACTAGAATTGACACTGCCAGGAAGCAACTTGTTTTTGGTAATTTAATATAACAGGGAAACCTCATTCCTTAAAATAGGGAGAGATTAATGAGGATATCACAAATATCTTACAGAAAATAAGTTGCTCAGAGAAATTTCATGGTACTTAATTATTATCATTTTATAGATCTAAATACCAAATAGAAGGCAAACAATTTGGACTTCAGACTCTTCACTGAATCATATAATGAAATGTTAAAGGGGTTTTCATGGAAGATCGATTTCCTCAGCTGGATCCAGGGACAACTGTTAAAAGCAATAGGTAGCACCTTAATTAAGAATCCTGACTACATAAAAGATGAAGCATGAAATAGAATTACAATAGCACTCGAAGGAAGCGGGAGAAACTCTGGCCATGACAGTGATGGAGTGGGTTTTTAATGAGTGTAAAAGCATTTAATGAGGTCACAAAAATCATTACCTAATGTTGTTTCTGGAGCTTCAGAACTATGAATAACAGGTTCAAAGCTAGTAGCAGGAACTAACCAAAAGCAACAACATGAACACAAGAAAGTTTAAACACACATAGAAAGTCTTAATTTTTCTTTCAAAACATTAGTTTCAAATGACAATTTTTTTAAACTTTTGCATTCACAGAAAGCAAACAGTCTCTGTAGCTAGGAAAAATTCATTGCAGAAGATAGGCACAACCTTTGAACTCTGCTATGAATCTTAGTATGGTCAACATGAGCCTTTCCTAGGTGTTTGATTTTCCAATTCTCACATGGAAGCTAGCTTTGGAAAATCTGTTTAGGCAATATACACAAAAAAATGTGAAAGTAACTTGTTACATTTCTTGGAAGCTGGAAAAAAATACCTATGTTTATGTATTCACAGCTATAATAAATCGATAACGTGTTTAAATGTAGATATAGCAATAAATAACCATGAGTGACTATGTCAATCTTGCTATAAATAAGAGAGACCAAGAACTTCATCCAAGAAGCAGCTGTTAACCACACCTCAATGCCTTGACTCTTAGGGAACATGAAGGCTGTTACTTCTCATTGGAGGCACTGCTTTGGGACTCCACTGGGACAGGCTGCTAGGGCTTACCCCTCAAACCATGAAATAACACATTTACCCAGTTTGGTCTGAGGTGCTTCAGGGCTTGATGTGGTTTTAGGTCTGGGACGTGGACGATGAACTCGTGATGTTTTAGGAGCTGAAGGAAGAAACGTTGGATTACTCTAGTGAAGGTGGTTTTGGAAATAAGGTTCCAGATTTTCTAAATATGTTACATTTCCTTGAAATTTAAGACATATATTTTAAAGATGCAAATATGTTTGCCTATTTTGTTAATTCTTTTATCACTGAAGATTCTTCAGAGGTAAAACTCACACATAAAATTAAGTCAGGAAATGAAGAGTCTTGTAAATGTCTAAAAAAGATAAGGACTATCATCAAACCGTAGTAAGTTCACACTAAGAAATTAAATATGCCCCCCTATCCATGGAACCATACAAATTGTTATGATTTAATTGGTCTAGAGAAGACATAGACATTCCCGACCATGTCTGAAACTAAGCTTTAAATGTGAGCACTGTTTAGACAAAAGTACATGATACAAATTCAATTAAGATTACATGGTAGACAGACATTTTGATCTAAGTCCATGCATAGCTTTTAAAAACAAGAGGTAACTTCTTTTTAGAGTCTTCAATACTCTTATTAAGAAGAAAAAGTTGAAGAACAGCAGAGGATGACAAGATAGTCTTATGAAGCTGGTGATAATGTTATTACAATGATGATGATGATAGAATGGATTGACAATGAGCAGGAAAAAATTGTTGAGGAACACAGAATATCATTACCTAATGTTGTTTCTGGAGCCTTGGTTCTAAGAGTGACATGTTCAAGGACTGTAGGAAGAACTGGCCAAAAATAATAAAATAAACCAAAGAGATTTTAAAAATTCACTTGAAGACTAATTTCAGAAGCCAATTGTTAAGCTTCAGGACTGGGAGAAAAGAGACACACACTTGTTCTTTGCAAATTTGACCAAATTGTGGTGAATATCAATTAATCTCATAAAATAGGTACACCATTGCACTTTGCTCAATATCACTGTGGTCAACAAGGAATTCTACATGTTTGATTATCTGATTCTGGTATGAAAGACTCTGCTGGACAAGCTTTTTACACATTTATATAATATATACTTTTCTAACTACTGGAAAAAGCATTTATCAGTCTATTTGTACTTCTATACACGTTGACATAAATATCTACTATTTCAATAATCATGGGTACAATAACGAGTTCACATTGTTTGAAAGTATAAGGATCAATGTAACAAATGGAGTGTGTTCATCAAAATTTCAAAGTGGTCCTTGATTCAATAAAAGTTAAGAAACTCCATCAAACCCTGTTAGAGAAGGAGAAAGAGTCAGCCTACTCTATCACAAAAGCCCATCATTTAAACTTTCAAGACTCAGGCACATTCAAAAATTTGACCATTAACTAAAAACATCATTCCTTGAAACAAGAGATCTACCAATATAATCATATAGATACTAATTCAATAAAAAGTAACACAATCAAAAAACATGGTATTTCCATAATTGATGAGGAAAAAGTGAGTGATGAAAATAAGGGATAGATGGAAATTCATGTTTGAAAGGAAGCTTAAAATAGCCAATGCTGTTTAAGCAAATGCACGTGATCACATGACACAGCATTGAGTGGTTACATGGCAGTTTGACATCCTGAAATTAGCATACACACAGTTCTCTTAAATTCAACAGATAACCTGACATAGAACGTAGCAAAATTGCAAGGTAAAGACTGTAATGGAATGACAACAGAGGGTATAGAAATGGTTTTAAGATGAAGGAGAACCTGTGGCTACAATGGTATGACAATGAGCAGGAAAAGCACTATTTGAAGGACACGCATTCTCATTACCCACGATTTCTGGAGCTTCAGTTCTAAAAGTACCAGGTTCAAGATCTGCAGTGGGAACTAGTCAAAAGCAAGGAAATAAACACATGTGAAAAGTCAGCAAATTAAATCTTACCAGTATAATAGTGCTTCAATAGGTATATTACAATTTGAAATTATTTTTCTGAAATTGCGTACTTGATATTTAAAGATTTGGTCACCTAAAGCCAGGTAAACTTTCTTTATGAGATAGTCACAGACTACACAAACTGATAAATATCTCAATAAAGTCAACATGATATTCTCCTAGGTGTCTAGGTACCTAATTCCAATCATTGTAGAAGACTGACCTAGGAAACTTTAAACATTTTACCAAATATATACTTATGTAACTGTTATGGCAGTTGTTGGCTCTTCTGTGGAAGCTTTAAGAAAACAGCATGTCCAAGTGTTCATCACAAGGAAGAAAAATATCTTTTTTTCTATTTCTTTAATTTTGTAGCTATATGAGATGATGCATTAAACTAAGTAAAGTTATTGTGGTCATCATTTCACGATGTACGTAAGTCAAATCATTATTCTGTACACCTTAAACTTATACAGTGCTGTATGCCAATTATATCTCAATAAAACTGGAAGAAAAGAAAGAAAATAGCATGTCTAAATAAGCATGGATACAATAAATAGCTTTCGTGTTTGAAAGGAGGCACAGAAAAGAATTAAGCAAAGTGAATCTTGTAGATCTTGTTGAGAGCTCATATTTAGAAATAGGCTGAGACCTTGTTTGAGGCAAAGGCACTCAGCAAATCAGGATAAAGAACATATAGTGTGTGGTGCCCAGTAGAGCAGCTCTCTGCTCTAATCACATAAATTCCATACACTAGACAGGAGGGAGAGACAGTTGCAGAAGAGATCACTGATGCTTCTAGGGTCAGACCCAAACTTCTGAGTCATACCTTCAAGGATTTTCTTCAACTGCTCCTATGGACCCATCCAAACTCAGTACTATTCATCACCTCTTGGAAGCAGAACCTCCCTTATTCCAGAAGTCTGTGCTCTCTGGTTGGTCTCTACACCTTACTTTCTGTCTGTTTATCTCTATGATTTTAAGACCCAACCTCTTTCCAACTCCTTATTCCTGTCCTTCATAGACTTTTCTCTCTTTCAGCTCAGAGATGTTTATAACCCCTACAAAAAACACCTCAGGGCTTCCCTGGTGGCTCAGTGGTTGAGAGTCCGCCTGCCGATGCAGGGGACACGGGTTCGTGCCTCGGTCTGGGAAGATCCCACATGCCGCGGAGCAGCTGGCCCCGTGAGCCATGGCCACTGAGCCTGTGTGCCCAGAGCCTGTGCTCCGCAACGGGAGAGGCCACAACAGTGAGAGGCCGGCATACCGCAAAAAAAAACCACCAACAACAACAAAACCCAGCTCAGTTTGCACAGACACACTGCCTTGGTTCAATCTTTTAATGTTTCACGTTGAGGCAGGTTCTGAATTTGACTCTACTACAGACTGCGAAGTAAAAACAAGCCGCCAGCTTCTGCGATATCCTCACAGATCTTGATGGGCTGTGGGGAGACGGAAGGCACTTCGTGTTTGTTTCTTGAGATAAAAATGCTTGGTTCTATTTAAGACATTTTTTTCTTTAAGAGAAGAATGGAATGGAATAAGAAAAAGTAAATAAAATACATAGTAAAAGAGTAGATCCTTGTGTAGAAAGCACAGGGAATTCAGCTGCCACGCGCGTCCCCCCCATCACGTTTTCCTTTGCTAATAGGGGGAAGCAGCAGCAGGTCATTTTGTGCCTTTACCCACATGGGACTCACAGGGGCTATCACTCCCACTACTAGCATCAACCCCAGACTCCCAAGAGCTGCAAGGACTCAGTCCTTTAACGAGAGACCCACATTTACCCGGTTTGGTTTGAGGTGCCTCAGGAGTTGGTTTGGTTTTAGGTTTGGGACGTGGACGACGGGTCCGTTTTGATGTTTTAGGAGCTGAAGAAAGAAAACCTTCAGTTACTATAGAGTCTGTAGTTCAGAAGATATGGGTAGCATGACACATGGCTCTAGGTTTCCTAAAACTTATTAGATTTCCTCATATTTTAGGAAATGTGTCTTTGTAACTTTTTAATTGGAAACTTTCACCCTTATTATAATAGTATGGTTTGTTTTTTTTTTAAGTGAAAGTTCATTGGCAATGAGTCAATTATAAAAGTGAAGAATCATTCAAGAAATGAATAATCATTCATAGAACTCCTGTTTGAATAAAAAGGATAAGAATCACTGCTAAAATATTATGGTAGTGGTGATAGCCAGGTACAAACTCTTTGACAGTTTACTAAAATAAGACCATGTCATTAACTAAAATGTCAGTTAAAGAACAAATATCACAGACAGTTAAAAAAACAGTAGACCTTTAGATCCACAAAGAACCCTCCCTGACACCGTAATAGTCGTTAGAGTCAAGAGAATTGCTTTTTAAACCCAGCTTTTACAAAACATTGGTTAAAAAACATACAAGGTGACAAAAACAATTTCAGATGGTTACATGTATAACAGTTGACCTGAGTTAGGTTCATGCATGGCTCTCTTAAAAACAAGGGATAACTTGTTTTAAGAGTCAGAGACTTCAATTCTTTTAGGGTGAAGAATATCATGGAGTGACAACAGAGGATGACAATGTAGCTTTAAAAGCAAAAGCTTTATGTAGCTTCGATGTTGATGGAATGAGTTTGACAATGAGAAGAAAAAGCATTTACTGAGGATCACAATGTGTTATTACCTTGTGTTGTCACCCAAGCCTCAGCTCTGAATGTAACAGGTTCAAAGTCTGCAGTAGGAGCTGACCAAAAGTATTAAAAATAAACCAAGTGATTGTTTTAAATAAACTCAAAACATTTACTTCAAAAAGAATCTTACTAGTACAATATAGGTTCTAGAACTACATAGCAACTTTTAAAAACTCTTAAGCTAGAAGAGTAAAAGTTGATTTCCTAAAAATTGGCCATACCTCAGTCAGGTACCTATTTCCTTAGTCCTCCTTCTTTGATGATCTGATTCTAACTAATAAGCCAAAGTGGGATGTGTGGGTATTGCTAAGAACTTATCTTTGGAAAGAGGCTGAGGCCTCAGCATGATGAATCAAATTGGATATCCCTCCAGACTAAGCAAAGAAAGAGCATGCCTTCATGAGCAAAGAACAGCTTGCTGATACATACTTGATCAAATCTCAACTGCTTCATCAGGTGCCTAAAGATCTCCACCATGGGAGTCCATGGACCAATCAAGATCTAGAAAAGCTTTGACTACCACCTTGAAGTCACACATCCTTTATACTAGTATTACAGTTAGACTTTCTCCTTTGGTTGGTCTCTACTTAGATCCATTCTTTCTGATTTTAAACCTTTCCATCTTTCTACCCATCTATGTACTAGGATGATTTCAAGGCTCCACTCTTTTTAAATTTATCTTTCCCTGCTCCAAATATTTATGTCCCTAGCACATCTTGTTGGTAGCACCCAAATATCAATCTTGTATTTGCATAGATGCTGCCTAATGCCATCTTCTATTTTATTTCCAAAGGAAAGGCTTTTGTTCTTAACTGTCTTGCAGGTTTGAGGACTAAAACATGTCTCCCACATCTGATACATTAGCATCTTTAGAGGTATACAACTTGGAGGATACTGAAGGCACTTAGTGTTTGTCAATTTGAACTGAATATGCCTAATTTTTCACAAGAAGCTTTATTTTCAAGAGATAAATGGAAGTTAATAAAATGCACAGTGACAAAGATTTTACAGAGGAAGAAAGAGGCATTCAGCTGCCCCACAGATCTCCCCCTACTGTGCTCTTCTTGCCAGCTCCACAGCGGGAACTTGCAGCTTAATACGAGTTGTATCTTTACTCTCATGGGGCGTATTGGTTACTCCCCAAAACTGGGATTACTCAACACCCTGCTGGGTTAGGTTGTTGGGACTCTAAACTAGGAACACAAGTTTACCTGGTCTGGACTCAGGTACTTCAGGACTTGGTGTGGTTTTTGGTCTGGGATGTGGATGAATTGTCTGTTGTGATGTTTTGGAAGCTGAGGGAAGAAATTCTTGGGTTATTACATAACTACATCACCCATCGTTCTGGAAGCTATGGGAGGCAAAAAACATGACTCTAGATCTTCTACACCTTGTTAGATTTTTGTCTGTTTAGTTTGAGATTTTTGTCACATACATAACTCCTTTTATATCTTCTTTTATCATAGAAGATTCTTTGAAGACAAAAATCACTTTTTAATATAAGAAATGAAGATTAGTAATTATAATCAAAGTCTCATAGAGCAGCTTGACTGGGCAACAAAAAGGTTAAGAACTGTTGCTAAATTTTAATGGATAATGAAGAATAGTCACACTCAATCTGAGGTTTATAATTTAATCTTCCAATCTTTGGTACATGTTCTAACTATTAAAATAAAAACATATTATTACCTAAATAGAAACAAAACAACAAAATACTATGCAAATAGAAAAAAGGTAGAAATGTAGATGTGCAATGAATGGATCCTCCTGGCCCTATGAGAGCTATTGATGACTTTATCTGTCTAGATAAGAGGGAGATCGGGATGTGTTTGAAAACCAGTTTTTCCACAAGCACCGCTGGAATAAAACACAGAATGAGACAATTTCAAACAGGTTACGTGGCAAATAAATATCCTAAAGTAGGGTCACACATGACTAGTTCTATTAAAAACAACAGGTAATTTAAGGGTTTTCATAAGTTTAAGAAGAATGTAATTGAATGGCCACAAAGAATAAAACTGTTGTCACATGGAGCAAGATGAAACTCTGGGTCTGACAACAAGCAGGATAAGTCTTGCTGAAAACACAGTTTATCATTACCTAATGTTGTTCTGGGGGCCTCTGGTCTAAGAGTGACAGGTTCAAGGACTGTAGCAGGAACTGACCAAAAAGGAATACAGTAAACCAAAGAGATTTAAAAATACATGAAAAGTTAGAACATTCACACCCCAACAAAACTTGCTTATATATCATTCCTTCTACAGAAACAAAGAAAGAAAAAAAAAACACAGAGAAAGTAGAGGATTGTTCTTTGAACATTTGGCCAAACGACAGTCATGGTCAGTCTTAGGCTTATCCTTGGAAATATCTTGAGTCAACATGAAATTCTCCTAGGTTTTAACTAATGGATTCTAACGGATATGGAAAACTCTGCACTGGAAAATATTTTTAGGCATTTACCTAATATACCCTGAAAAAAGAAATTGTCTTTAAAAAAAATCTGATCAACCTGTACTTCTATGGAGGCTGAAAACGAGCCCTTACTGTGTTTAAGTAAACATGGATACAATAGACAGTTTATAAGTTTGAAACAGATATAAAAATTAATCATTGAAGTGGATGGTGTTGGTCTTGCCAAGAGCTTGTCTATGGAAAGAGTCTGAGAACTCTGTCCAAACCACGACATATAAAAGAGCAGGATAAAGATGGTTACTCGGTCTGAAATACTCAGTAGAGCATCTCTCTGGCCTAAGCCCAGAAAAAGTGGAAATCAAAGACTGTTGATGTCTCTCTATCAAATCTAAGCTCTTGAACCAGGTCCTCAAAATCCTCTTTCAATTGACTGGATGGATCCATCCAAATGTAGCATCATCAACAGCCAGGTTTTGACCATGATAAGTAGGACAGTCTGTTCTAGGTACCCCCAACCACCACACTTCTGGTTCTTCTGCCTTGGTTCACATTTCCCTCCATGCATTCAAATCCTATAGGGGGCCTAAAGCCCAAGGTCCAAGGTCCAAGTCCAGTCCACCTTGATCTTTTCCCTTGTACCATGCAAACATATTCTCAACTTTACAGTTTTAGAAATGAAATGTCTCCCACAGCTGGCATATCACCCACAGTTGCCAATATTGGTCCAGGAATTTGCAAGGTACTTACAATTTGTTTATTTACTTGAACATAATATATTGGCTTTGTTAAAGAAGTAAAACTGGAATTTTATAGTAAAAAATATACTAAATGTATGTCAAGACTCACACATAAAAAGAATATGGTATTCTGGCACCAACTGTATCTCACCCAGTCATGTTCTCCTCAACACCTGGTAGAGGAGACATTACTGATGATGCCTCATGACTTCATGCTTAGAGAGAATATGAGCTTGGCACTGCTTTGCATCCTCAATGGGACAGGTTACTAGGGCTCACCCTTAAAACCAACGAATCACACATTTACCCGGTTTGGTCTGAGGTACTTGAGGGCTTGGTGTGGTTTTATGTCTGGGACGTGGACGACGAGGTCTTTGTGATGCTTTGGTAGCTAAAGAAAGAAAAGCCTTATGTTATTCTACATTGTATGGCTCTGGGTATGGAGGAGAGGTTTTTCCAAAACCTGTTAGAGTTTTTAAAGTTCCATGAATTTGTAGTTTAAAATTTTTACTCCTTTTATGCCAATGCATCTTTTTTTTTTTTTTTAAGGTTGAGGGTACTTTGGAGGCAAACTCATGTTTATAGTCAAATTACTCATTCAAGGCATGAAAATTAGCACTTGTAATCAGATACTCATAGAACTTCCTTACTGGGGGAAAAATGAGAAGGACCAATACTGGTGCAAGGGGAGGGGAAGTTAGGGTCACACTGAGACCCTAACTTCAGATCTGGATAATTGCCTATTTGTCAAATTAGTAATAAAACACATCTTTAGTTAAAACACCAACAAAAAAACAAACACACCATGCAAATAGTTTTTTAAAAATCTAGAAACTTAGATGGCAAAGGAGCTTAAGAGTAGCTGTTATTGCTGATCAGCCTAGAGAGGAAATAGATCCCAATTTGTTTTAAACTCAGCTTTAACACAGAACACTGTTCAACGAAGCACAAGGCGATGTGATGATTTCAAATGCCCCACGTGGCAGGTAAATGTTGTGAACTAAGCTCATGCCTGCTCTCCTAAAAACAGCAGGAACCTTGTTTTTAAGAGGCTTCAGGGCTCTTCAAGTGAAGACAGTGGCTGAATGGCAGTGCAGGATGATAGTGGTCATCTCTTGAAAGAGGAAAAGCCATGTGATGGGGATGGAGACTGAACAGACTGTACAAGGAGCAGCAAAAGATCTAGGCAAGTGGCACAGGGTCATTACCTAATGTGGTCCCAGAGGTGTCAGTTGTAAAAGTAACAGGTTCAAGGTCTGTAACAGGAACTGCAGTAATAAACAAAAGAGGTTTTAAAAAAAATGTGTATGAAGAGCTACAACATTCATGTCAAAATGAATCTTGCCAGTGTAACACTGCCTCTAGAATATTTTTTTAAAATTTCTGAATGAAGGGTGTTATGGACTGAATTGCCTCTCCTCAGAATTCATTTGTTGAAGTCCTAACTCCCAATGTGACTGTGTTTGGAGTTGGGGTCTTTAAAGATGAAGTTAGGGTTAAATGAGGTCATAAGGGTGGGGCTGTAAGCCAAGAGGACTCCTGTCCTTATAAAGGAGAGGGAGAGACACAGGGATGCTCACACAAAGAGAGAAGGCCCTGGGAGGACACAGTAAGATGGTAGCCATCTGCAAGCCAAGGATAGGGACCTCAGGACATAGTAAACCTGCTGATACCTTGATCTTAGACTTCCAGCCTCCATAGCTGTGAGAAATAGATTTCTGTTGTTTAAGCCACCCAGTCTGTGGTATTTTGTTACAGCAGCCCTAGCAGACTAATAGAAAGGGAAATCAACTGTTGTGCTCAGACTTGGCCAAACTGTAGTTAGGAACTTCTTCATCTCATGAGATAGTCATTACCTTTGGTCTCTGTTTAGCACCACAAAAGGGAAACAGTTCCTGTAGTTAGTGCTTGAATACCTGAGTCTGCTATGGTAGACTTTAGGATATTGTTAGGCTTTTACTTAAATATGTTTCTAACAACCCTCAAGAAGCACGTGGAAAACTAACCTGTACTTCTGTGGATGCTGAATAAAGAAAATATCTACTATGTTTATCAAATTATGGTTGCAGAAAAAGTTCCTAAATAACCAAGCAGCCATTACACAAATAGCCAAAAATTGTTCTGATCATCTTGCTGAGAACTCAGCTTTGGAAAGATCTTGTGACTTCTGTCCAAACAAGAAGACTAGGTAAGAGGCAACTTCTTAGTCTGTGGCATCCAGTAAAGCACCTGTCCACTCTCAGTACAGGGAAAACTATCCAAGTATGGGAAGAAGAGACTTCTGATGCTCATTAAGAACAATACTAGCCTTATTCAACTAGTGTCATTCAAATGCATCATCACCAACAAAAATGTTTTGCCTGGCACTTAGAAGAAGCAGGGACTCTGCCCCCTCTGGTTGCCTCTATATATATCCTGTTTTCATCTTGTTCACTCTCACCTATCCACTTGTGCAAATTCTGATGTGACGTCAAGGCCCAAACTCCTTCTCTGCTCTACTGAAGCCCACGTTGATTTTTCACTTCTTTAAGACTTGCTATAGATGTATGAGATGAGAGAATTTGGGTTCCCTCCATCACCAGTTAGGGAAGAACTAAAGATCAAAAGCACCCATTTTGGATTATATGTGAGTTAAAAAATAAAAAATATATATTTCCATTAAAAAAAAAGAGCCACTATAATCAGTCTACACTTAATGCTTGCGTACCTAAGAAAAACCTTGAATTTGCAAAAACACCCTGCCCCGTTTTCAACTTCTAGGATTTTCACACAAGAAAAGTGTTTGTGCTCAACTAACCTGCCGACTGAGAAGTATAACATGTCTCTTACTATCCAGAATTGGAGAGAAGGTTATGTCTCTTCCAAACATGAACTCCTCACCAGCTCTGAAGGGGCAAGGACTCTTCATGATTCCCTCACTAGCGGGTATATGAGTTTACATTTTCAGCCAGTGACAGGCTGCCAGGCTCCTTAAGCCAAGGGCCTTGCTTTTGTCTGGTGTAATCTCTGAACTTGGAGTGGTTTTAAGTTTGTGTTGTGAATGACATGTCCGCTGGGATGTTTTTGGAAGTATAAAAAGATAAATTTCTGTTACTTTAAAGCTTCTGCAACTTATAGGTTTTTGAACAGAATCTTCTTTAAAGTTTCCAAAGCTTGATAGATTTTCTTCAGTTTCAGGAAATGTTTCTTTCTAGTGTGAAAAGTTTGGCCCTACTATGCTACTGTATCTTCCTTTGTTATTGAAGATACTTTGGGGACAAAGTTGACACATAAAATGAAGTTATTAATTCAGAGAGTCAAGATTGGTATTTTTTTAACACATTCTCCTAGAGTCCCCTGACTGCATTAAAAAGGTTAAGAATCATTTCTAAACTATGGTGGAGATTAAGGGGGAGTCAGATTCACCTTAAGGATGAGGCTTACTATTTAAACTTACTAGCCTTGATCACATTATCTGTTAGACAATTCACTAAAAACATATTACCCAAATGGTAACAAAACAACAAAAAAAACAGGCAGATAGGGCTTCCCTGGTGGCGCAGTGGTTGAGAGTCTGCCTGCCGATGCAGGGGGCATGGGTTCTTGCCCTGGTCCGGGAAGATCCCACATGCCGCGGAGCGGCTGGGCCTGTGAGCCATGGCCGCTGAGCCTGCACGTCCGGAGCCTGTGCTCCGCAACGGGAGAGGCCACAACAGTGAGAGGCCCGCGTACTGCAAAAACAAAAAAACCAAAACAAACAAACAAACAAAAAAACAGGCAGATAAAAAAGGCCGGTGTATAAAGGATGTATAAAGAAACTTCCCTGTCACAGCCTGGTTAGCATAGATCAGGATCAGGCACTCTTATAAATACATGAAATTTACCTTAACAGAGAACTCTGGTTGAGCTAAAAACAAACTGGCTTGAAAAAAATTTTAACTGAAAAAAATTTTAACTAAGTTACAGGGCAGGAAGATATCCCAAACTAGATCCAGGGATGACTCTCTTTAGAATAAGAAGTAACTTGCTTTATGCACATTTAACTCACAAGATAAAGAATGTAACCAAATGGCAACAGAGGGGAATGGGCAGAAGTTTGACACTGAGCAGAAAAAGTGCTTGCTGAAGGTCAGAAAGTGGCATTACCGAATGCTGTCCCTGGAGCCTCTTTGATAGGAGTAACTGCTTCAAGGACTGTGGCAGGAACTGACCAAAAACAATAATAAAAAATGTTAAACATTTATACAATCTCAGAGGGATATGGTGTGTCTGCGCTCGGGTACCAGTTTATCACTCAGGAAGGACTGTCTCTGTACTCAGATAACTGTCCCTGAGAAGTATCCCTGAAGTTTCTCATTCTGTGATGATCCTAGTCTAGGTAATGTGCCAAAGTAGACCTTACCCATCTTGCTAGAAACTCATCTTTGGAAAGAGACAACAAGCTTTGCCCAACTGGGGTACTTAAGAGAGCAAGATAAAGGGCAGCCATTCAGCCTGTGGTTCAGCTGTGTCCTTCTGTCTCATGCCCGGGAAAGCCTACCATGTATGGATAGTGATGATTCTTACATGAAACCCTAAGTCCAAGAGTAAAAATTCCTTTTCAGCTGGTCCTTTGAGCCCATTTAGCTACAGCAGCTTCAATAAAATGCTCTGATCAGCACCTAGAAGCTGACAGCCTTCACTGGTCCAAGAAGCCTCTGTCTCCTCTCACTGGCCTCCACACAGGTCCTGTCTTCTGAACTTCTTCACCCCACCCTCTCGCACCCCAGCCATCCAAATCTATAGTGATTTCAATGCTCAAGCCCTTCCTAACTATTCTGGCCCACCCTGACTGTTTCTTTAAACCAGGGGTTCACAAACTATGGCCCATAGGCCAAACCTTGCCCATGGCTTGTTTTCATACAGCCCATTTCCATTTTTAAGTGGTTGTCAAAAAAAAAAAAAAAGGGAAAAAAGAAAACTATACATCAGAGATTATTGAGGCCACAAAGCCCCATATTTACTATCTTGCCCTTTATAGAAAATATTTGCTAACTCCTGCCCTAGATCTGTACTATGACTTATACAACTTTAATATTTACCAAGAAATAATCTCCTATTTGCCCAAATACATGTTTGACCTATAGCTATTTCAGTCCACTACACACATTCAATATAGAAAGGATGGATAGAATTGAATGAGAAGCCAATGAAATAGACATTTAGAGAGAAGATTCTGATTCACAAAGGGGAAGGAATTTGGCTACCCGCTAAGACCTGTCCGACTGTGTTCTGGTTGCCTGCTCTGGAGTGAAAGTGGCCGCTGGCCCTGACTTGCCCCTTCACTTTCTCTAGACCTCACAGGGATGGGCTTCAGGATTCCTCAACCAGGATCTACACATTTACCCAGTTCAGTCTGAGGTGTTTCAGGATTCTGTGTGGTTTTAGATTTGGGATGTGGATGATGAGTTCGCTCAGGCACTTTGGGGGCTAAAGGAAAAAAACTTCAGGTTAATAGAGTGTTTTTAGTTCCAGAAGCTGTGGATAGGATTATAGTTGTTATAATTTCTTGAATTGCAGGAAATTTTTCTTTTGAGTTTGAAACATTTGTCCATATTTGATGATTGCCTCTTTTTATCACTTATATTACTGTGAAAAACAAAAATCACACAGAAACCTGAGTTGATATATCAAGGAGATTCTCAAAAGGGATTTTGGAATGAAAAAAATTTCCAAAAACCTACTGAATTATTGTGATGGTGGGGAAGGGGTAGGGTGACTTTACACTAATGATGGTGCTTGTAACTTCAATTTACTAGCCTTGGACCTATTTTCTATTTCACTCCTTACTGAAAAAAGACTGCATCATTATCTAAAACGGCAAAGTAAAAACAAAATCGTGCACGTAGTAGAAAATATAGGAATTTAGATCTGCATAAGAATTACGTCACACCATAATGGCTGTGACACTGTACTCAGTTTGGATCAAGGACAGACACTCCCACTCCTAACCCCCATTGACTGTGTCTGAAACTCAGTAACACAGAATGTGATTAAAAGGTTACATAGGGATGAGATGCCACAAATTCAAACGCCTTGCCTTACAGATATGTATACTAAGCTAAGTTCATACTTGATTCTTTGAATAACAAATGAGTTGTTTTAATACTCTTCAAAATATTAAGAAGTAATTGAATGACAGCAGAGGATGACACAGAGTCTTGTGGTTATGACAGTGGCGAAATGAGCAGGAGCAGATGCTTATGGACATAATGTGTCATTACCTACGGTCGTCCCTGGAGCCTTGGTCCTAAGAGTAACTGGCTCAGGGATTGTGGCAGAAACTGATCAAAAGTAAGAAAAGAAATCAAAGAGATTTTTGTGAGTGCATGAAATGTCAGAAAATTCATCTTAACCGTAAAAATAATGCTTCGAAGGGGAAAAGGGAAGGGCAAGGATGGATTACACAAAAGCTTTAAAACCAAGAGGCAGGAACTATAGGGGTGGGAGGTGAGAGGTAGAGGCGGTGGGGAGTAGGGCTTCACCCTAGGGTCTGCCCACCACACATAGAACAGAGAGCCAAAAAGAAGCTGAGACCATACTCGCTAAGTCCTTAGTGAAGAGAGTGACATTTAATATAATAAGGTAAGGAACAACCTCTCAGTTTGTGGTATCATATTAAACTAAGCATCTTCAGTTCTAAGAATAGAAAAAGCATGGTCCCGTGTAGAAGTAAGGATCAGTGAAGCCCACTGGATCAAACTTAAGCTCTTGAGTAGACATCCCAGTCCCCTTTATTTCATCCTATAGAGGTCCATTCAACAGGAGTGTTATCAACAAGTCATCCTCTGTCTGGTCACCAGCTTCCTTCAGCACATTCCCTGTTTATCAGCCTTTGTTCCCTCAACCCTTCATTCATCCAAATTCTGCACTGATTTTTCCCCCTAATTATCCTGGATCTTTTCCTGCTCCAAATATTTACTATATTTCTAGCATATATCATTTGTACTATTTCAGAAAGTATTTTACATTTGTATAAACATGCTGCCCTATGTTATTTTCTACCTGCTTATGCAGGAACAGCTTTTGTTTACAACTATAGTACAAAATGTTTGGGAAATAAAGCATAATTCCTACTTCTGATTTGTCTCACAGTTGCTAATATGGTTATGGGGGTATAGAAGGGATTAATAAGAAGAATAGTGTTTACTCTTAAGAGATATATAAGGCATGTACCAATTATGTGCACAGAATTCAGGGTCCCAGCTGGGGTAGAATGCTTGGATTCCTTAAATCAGAAACTGCATATTTACCCAGTGTGGTCTGAGGTACTTCTGGATGGGGCGTGGTTTTAGGCTTGGGACGTGGACGACGGGGTCTCTTTGTTGTTATTAGAGCTGAAGGAAGAAAAGTTAGGATTAATATAGTGCTGGTGACTCCATTACCTCTGAATAGGATGATATAACCGGGCTCTAAGCCTTCTAAAACTTGCCAGAGTTCTTTTGAGTGGAGACACCTTTGTTACTTTGGTTTGAAATTTTCTCCTTTAATATATTAACAGGTTTTCTTTTATAATTGAGAATTCTCTAGAGATTAAAAATTATATTATAATTATGTTTAAGAAATGAAGATGAGGGACTATCATTTTCTTGAAAGTGTCCCTAATGAGAAATCACGCTAAACTGTGACAGCATGGGAGACGTTCAAACCATCCTATACTATTCACTTAAAATTTAAAACAACTAGTCTTGGGCAAATTTTCCACTTGGTAATTTACTAAAATAACTACACAATATTAGGTGCAACATCAATAAAGTAAAAAAAAAAAGTTATGTAGAACTTGAAATATAGAAAGTAAGATGCTTAAAGAAACTTCATGGTATCATAATTGACACTCTATTGGTGGTCTAAATAAAGAATATATGGAGAATCACATTTAGCCCCCAGCTCTAACAAACAGTACTATTTAAACAGAGACTCAGATTGACATGATGCAATTACAAGCTGGGAGATGCAGCAAATATATGTGTTGAATTAAAGTTTATACACATTAATGTTAGAAAGAAAGCCTTTTATATTTTAAGATGAACACAGCAATAGGATGACAATAAATTATGACATCATTGTCTCTACAGAACATAGATAAGTCTGACAACAAGTAACAAAAGCACTTGCTGAAGGATGTACAGGATCATTACCTAAAGATGTCCCAGTAGTAACAGGTTCAAGGTCTGTAGCAAGAAATGATCGAAAGCAATTAACAAAAAGAATTGTTAAACACATAAGAAAAGTCACCAGACTCTCTTGAAAATGAACTTCACTAGGGTAGCATGGTTCTACCGCCAGAAAGCAAAATTTTCAAAGTTCCAAGGTGAGGGTACAAAGATATATGATATTATGAAATGGTTATACTCTTATTATCCCCACATAGTTACCTACAAGTATTGCTTTTTATATCATCTGATAATATAATGGAAAACTCTGCTTAGAAAAATATTTAGGCATCTGTCTAAAAACATTATGGTTAACAACTGTAAGAAAAGAATGTGAAAGTATAATTTATAACACAATATACTGGAAAACAATTAAATCTATGTCATGATAGATGCAGTTGTTGATATATTTAAGCAGATATTGGTAATGAATAACCAAAATAGACAATGCTCTTTTTGGTTAAGAGTCCACTTTGGAAAAAGACCAAGAATTCTGTCCAAACAAAGCCATATAAAAGAGCAAGATACAAAGGGTCATTCAGTCTACAAAATTGTCAGTTCATCTCTCCGTTATCAGGACAGAAAAGGGCTGACTGGATAGTTTGCTGCAGCCAAGTGGCTCAAATCCAATCATTGAAGTCAGGCACTCAGGGTCCTCTTCACAGACCCATCTAAAAGTAGCACTGCTGACCACAATTTCTGAGCACCAGCCAAGTAAACACTGCCCTTCTCCTTTCTCACAATCAAGTTCTACTTCCAAGTCCTATCCTTCTGCTGTCATCCACACATATGGCACCTTCCAGCTTCTGTATGTTATTCCTGCTCATCCCTCCAACAAATCTACAAACTATACACATTTCAAGGTCCACATGACACTTATCACCCCCATGGATCTTTCACTTCTCTAAGAATTAACTATGTGTCTAACAGTTGGTAAAACTCAATAAATATGTTGCTTTTGCCCATTTTCCTTTCTATCCATATATGAACAGTTTCACACAAGAGCAGCTTCCTCCCTCAATGAAGCCAAGTCCCTTGTTATTTCTAAACTATTCCTCACAAATGTTAATGTGGCAGTTCATCAAATATGAGACTAATTGAACTAAATAGGCTAGATACTCAACTAGATACATTTTTGCGGAGCCAGAATCAAAGAGAAAATGTAATCGAATGGTGAGCGAAGCAAATAAAATACAAGGTACCAAGAAGATACTAAGTAGCGTGAGGAAGTCACACGTATTGACTAGAGCACTTGTAACTTGGGCATCCATCCTGAAGGATCACAGGGTTACTAGGCAGCAAGTTACACTCCCACCACAGTGTCACATCCAACAAGGTTGCACAGGTACCAGGAACCACATATTTACCTAGTTTGGTCTGAGGTGTCTCTGGGCTCGGCGTGGTTTTATGTTTGGGACGTGGACGTGGACGTGGACGACGTGTTCTTGTTCTTTGTGATGTTTTGGGAGCTGAAGAAAGGAAACTGGTTAATGTTGTCTTATGACTCCAGAAAAAAAGGATGATACATGACTCTAGGTTTTATAAAATTTTGCTAGATTTTCTGGAGTCTTGAGAAATTCGTCTCTGGGGTTTGGAATTTTCTTTGTCATCCATATGCCAAAAAGAAAAAAGTTGTGGGGGGTTGTCTGCTGACAGTTCTTTTGAGAAAGAACATATAACATTATTTTAATTATCTGAAAACTTTACTGTTACTGCTGGTATCAGATTTTCAAAGAGAACCCTGATCCAAGGGACGTCAGAAGCACAGCATGTTTACAACACATTAGAGAGGGACCCAGGCTCACCTGCTTTGGGGAGATTATATTTAGAAATGACTTGGTTTAGGCATACATCCCATTAAACATTATTAGACTAAACACATCTCATTTCTTAAAATCATTGGTAGACCATAAAAATGCCTGGAATATCTTAAAACAGCTTTCTTTTGATGGCCACAGAATTATACCTGATGTTTATAGGGCAGAGACTCCTAACTGTGTTTGGAATTCAGCAGAACCACTGGCTCTGTAAAGCTTTAAGAAAGCTGGATAATGTGGGTGATAGATACTCTGCACTAGCTTCATAGATGCTTATATTCTAACCAAGTGACTTATTTAAAACATCTTCAATACATTCAAAATGAAAGAATATAGCTGAGTGACAAAAAGGGATGATGAAAAAATCTTACAGAAGAGAAAACCCTTTGACCAACATAGTAATGGAATTGACTGGACCATGAACAGAAAATGCTCTTGCCTGAAGACATCAAAGATCATTACCTAATGTTGTCCAAGGAGCCTCAGTTCTCAGAGTTACAGGTTCAATGACTGTGGCAGGAACTGACCAAAAGCAATACAATAAACAATGGAGATTTAAGAAACATAGGAAAAGAAACAAAATTATCTTGAAAATGAATCCTTTTGATCCTGTAATGTTTAAAAAGCATTTATGAACTCTGGAAAAAGAGTATTTGTTCTGTAATAACTGGCTGTACTCTGGTACTCATTTATCTCACAAAACAGCCATACCCCTTGCACTTTGCATCCCTGTGAAGCCAATGAAAAGTAGGGTTTTTGGTGTTTAATTATATGATTGTATCTGTATTGGAAACTTGGCTCCAAAAAAATCTCTTAGCTGTCTGATATGTATTTTAAATTACTCTGAAAAATTATTATGAAAACTTCTGTTAGTATTTGAAAGGTTTTCACCACCATTATTAATATATGTTTTTGAGAAATGGTGGTAGTGGTGAGAATTTTTAAAAATGTTCTTAATCAGTCTGATTATTGGAGATTTGTGACAGTTATGCAAAAGATAACCTTGTGCCATTTCTCCACAATAAAGGTGATACTCTTTGCTACAATTTGTCCTTATTTATTCATTTATTTCAAATGGATACTTGGAAGATAACTATTCAAGTGAAGAACAGAGATGATTAAGAAAAAGGTCTGAAAAGTAATAATTCAACTTTTGTCTGAATAAACAGGATTCCTCTAATTCTCTAATATTCTGAAATGATTGAATTACACATTGGTATAAAATTAAGACTTATGACTCCTTGGTTTTAAATTAGTGTCTCTATTTTTCAAGTCCATAAGATTAAATGTAACATTAAAATATCTTATCACCAAAGACTCTGTAAGCGTTTATATGGAGATTGCCTTTTGCTGACTGCCCAAGATAACATAGCACAGCGTTGGTTTAAGCCACATCTAAGAACATCTTCTGAACTAAAGGAAAACATGGCATCCAGAAGAGACAGAAAGTGAGAACCATAGGACAAAACAATATTCAAAGCTGAATGCCTTCAAACAAAAGAGGAAAATCCCTATTTTGTTTGGAATTCAACACCACAAGGTGGATTTATCAACAGAAAGGTCCAGTTGCATTCGAACAGTATGGAATCAAGGAAGAAAGGACTCTTGCGAGAAAGAGACAATTTATATTTTCTCAAGCCCCAACCAGCTTTTTCATTGCTCCTCTCCCACATCATAAATTATATATACATAAAAGCAGAGATTTCAAAAATGTCCTGGTTTGAATGATGGATGGAGAGAGCACCTGTGACTCTTGCCAACATCAAGTGCTGCAAGCAATCTGACTATCTCTGAAGATGATCAAAGAACAAAAAACATTCAGGGATTGTAAACTGAGCAGCAGCTGTAAGAATGCCTAATTATATTAAAAAGGTCCTTGTTGAAAATAGTAAACAATTTTTGGGAATGAATGAAAAAGAGGATGAATGACAATTGTTTACACAAGAGACTACAGACAGTGACAGAAATGAGAGGGGCAAGTTCAGAGAAACATTGACCAAGAGGGAAGACATCCATCGTTACCTATGGTTGTGGAGGGCGCTTCATTCTCAAATGTAACAGGCTCAAAGACTGCACCATAAAAAATAAACAGATATAAGAAACAAAAGTAAGGAAAGCTAGACTTTTAGGTGCTCATTGATGCTTAATTCACAGGACACAGAACTTGGTTTATTCTAAGCTGATATAAATTGCCTTCTTGAGAGACTTATTTATTATGAGGGATGCTCTCAGTAAATTAGAATTTTATACTAATTGGCATCTTAGGAGAAAATGTCACTTGGAAAATAATTGAATTTTCAGAACTATTATATAATATCTTCTTATTTAGTAGAAAATCACTTAGTTAATAGGTACCATTTGAAAAGCCAATAAGGTATTTTAGAGAAAGCCAATCTCCATGTGCCTATAAAGGAAGAACACAGGGTCAGCCTCCCTAGTGGCAGCTGCTAAAATCACTTTCAAAAATGCTCCAGATACAGAAAAACCAGGCTTCTATTCATTACAAACCCGAACTGAGAAGACAGAACCTAAAAATGCTTTAAGAGTGGAATCTGTCAGACAATCCGATATAAAATTTATTAATTTCCCAAACATTAATTTGTTCATTTAACGCATGAAACACAAGTGTGGCTACTTTGAGAAGATAATGAACAAAAAACCCATGGTATTTGGGTTTCTATGCTTTTATGATATGACAAACTGTAAGCATCTTCAGCAACATCCCCAAAGAAAAAGCTTCTTAAGCCAAAGCACTGGAAATTGTTTACCGGATTTAGGTGGTGGCGTATCCGGTTTTGCTGTGGTTTTGGGTTTAGGAAGTAATTGCTTTGGTGATTTTGAATCTGAAGGAAAAAGGTGCTATAATTAGTGTCATGGCAGAGCTGTGAATGTAGAGATTAGCGCTACTTACACACCGTTTTCCTAGTTATAGATTAAGACATTGAAAGTAGAGATTACCAGGCTGGATTTGAGGTACATCTGGTCTACGTGTAGTTTTAGGTCTTTCAGATGGTTTCGACGCTAAAGAAAAAAGTATTAAGGTCACAGCCGTAACTGTCAATAATTAAGGACACATATACTCAAGCAAAGATACTATATAAATTCAGTGAATATACAACAAAATTAATTTCTGGGGTGGGAAGGGTGGAAAATGTGTCCATTCCTACTGATTTTTCTGAAAGAAAAAAACCTTCAGGAAATGTTCAAAATGTGTCTCTCAACAAAAGTAAGGAGAACTATAAGAAGACTTTTTTCTGTATAAGTAATTTTTAAAATGACAGGTATAATAGTTCTGTTTCTTACTGGATAGTTTTTTTTTTCTTTTCCCCAGTATAAAAACAGTAAGGTAGAAATTTGAAACTTGCTTAGTAGGAAATCAGGAAAATAACCCATAGATACTTGAAATTATACAGCACGTTACATGGCTATTTATTTCTGGAATTTTCTAAAGTAAACCAGTGACAGATTTATTGTGAATGCTGAGAAATTATAATGAAATAATTATAATCAAAACAGCATTAAGACTGAAAAGAATAAAATCAGCTGGAGACTTTTAATATTCTCAAGTTACAAAGACCATACTATTTTTATCTTGGACCCTAGACAAAGAACAGTGTGTGTGACTTTGGTTATCAAAACATACTCAAAAAAATTCCTCAGAGAAACAGAAAAGCTGAAGGAGCCATTATTTCATGCAGCTGTTTAAAAGGGAGAAAGTCTTACAAGTTGAATGAGTAAAGCAATGAAATGGTAATCATGACACTGGAATAAAACATTGCCATTTGCCAAGTCCAGGATAAGCACGGAAGTCCCTGAGAAAGAGTAGAGGACACGTGATGGGAGGACAGAGGGTTTCTGGAAAACCAGCAAGTTGTGTTCAAAACTATGGACTTTCCCTGAATTAGCACACAGAATTCTTCTAGAAGTCTCCTATCTTCAGGCTCTTCAGACCCAGATAGGAAAGGTGAGGGAAAGCATGGAACAAAACTGTGACACTGTGTATAGAATTGCAGTCATGCCTGGGCAGAGAGCAGGAAAAGCAAAAGTGACAACCTGGGAAAGCAATTGGAGGAGACCAGAATTACCAACTGTGGGCACCAAGGGCTCCAATTGTACCGTAGCAGGTTCCAGAACTATAGAGGCAAGAAACCAAAAATACTAATTATGTCAAGAAGCGGCATCCTGAGGAAGGAAACATTACTCTCCCATCTTTACTTAAACCGTGTACTTTTTTTGAATGGGATTTTCCTTTTTATTTTTCCCATTTGCCCCTCTTCTCCCTATTGCTTTCCCACATCTCATCTGCCATGAATACGCATCTTGTGTAAAATTTTTACGGTGCCCTACTTGAACGATCCACTTAGTGGCCCAGCTTACTGCTGTGTATACTTAATAACCACAAATAAAAATATAAACATATTCATAAAACATTAATTTAGAAAGTATAGATCCTTAAATATAAAAATCAACTACACTGGTTCCTAAAGCCCAACTATTTAGGTGGTAGGTAGCTACTATCTCAGAAACTACCGTATTCCACTTTCTATGTTAATTGGAACCCTGAACATCACATTTACCAGGTTTGGACTTGGGCACATCTGGACTAGGTGTGGTTTTAGGGCGGGGACGACGACCTGGTCGTTTGGTCTTTGGTGGAGCTGAAGAAAGAAAATCAGCTAGTTAATACACGATCGGTGGCCCTACAAACTGACCATCAAAACTACGTGTATCTTAGAAGCACATTTAAGCCCTTTGATTTATTGCAGATATGTATCCTTCTGTTTGCAACTTTCTATCATTATTTACCCAGTTAAATGAGGTCTTGAATAGTGGACTTTTATTTTATTTTTTGCCAAATATTTATAAATAACTGTTCAAAAGATCTCTCTATTCTATTTTGAGGTGGAAAACTCAGAACTTTGTACAGCTTGGAGAAGACAGTCTCATTAAATTTTTGAAGGTATATGTTCAACAGGAACATGAGAAAAGTTACTTTTAGAAGCCACTAGGGATAAAAACTAAAATTTATTCGGCCTAAGATTCAAAAGGAAATGTTTTTCGCTTAGCATTTAAAAATCTGCAAATCAACATGGGGTGGGGTGGGGGAAAGGGAGGGTGGGATGAATTGGGAGATTAGGTCGGACATAAATACACTACTATGTGTAAAGTAGATAGCTAGCGGGAAGCTGCTGTACAACACAGGGAGTTCGGCTTGGTGCTCTGTGATGACCTAGATGGGTGGGAAGGGGGGTGGCGTGGGAGGGAGGTCCAAGGGGGAGGGGATATATGTATACTGATACATATATAGCTGCTTCACTTCAGTGTACAGCAGAAACTAACACAACATTGTAAAGCAATTATACTCCAATAAAAAAAAAATCTGTAAATCAGTAACATGTGCAAAAAGGCTTTGAATTCTCAAATTATTTCAGGGAAGGCAACTTTTAAAGAATGAGATATAATTTTTAGACTACAGGATTTAAAATTTTTCTCCAAAGGAACAGAGAACACACACACACAAATGGACATTAATGAACAAATCCATTAATGTGAGCCTGTTAATAAAGATGCCAACAGTCAGGAAAAGGAAAAAAAGGTAGGCCACTCACTGCATTACCTAATGTTGTTGTTGAAGGTTTAGTTCCCAGTGTTCCAGGTTCTAAGACTGCACGAAAAATAATCAAGAAGGAATCAAAATCAACGGAAAAATGATGAACTTTAGTAAAGTATGAAAAATGCTTAATTTTTAAGTACTAAGTTGAGCAATCATAAATGGTGAAACTTTTATGCATATAAGAAATTCCTTTTTTATGTAAATAGATTCCTGTGTTTTTAGACAAAATGAACAAAAACACAGCTGGTCAGTTAAGTTTGGAAAGAGAAATGGAAAAAAAAAAAAGGCATGACTCTCATTTGGAAGATGTAAATGCAATAAAATAACCAACAGCTCATGTTATGAAGGAAAATGTGAATAACTGGCTAAGACAGCACTAGCAGAACAGTTTTTGCTCTCTTGAAGAAAAAGAAGCTACATAGACTGGGGTGAGTTTTTATATTTCTCTCATTTAATGAATTTCCTAGTGACACATCAGGATATTTAGATCTAGAAAGACCATAATGCTTTTCAAGAAAATCTGCAAATGTTAGAGTTTTGAAAGTAAGAAAAACACCTCTAAAAGTGAAAGCACAAATATGTCCTGGGGAAGCCATGGTCCTCTATGGGAAATAACCAGGTTAAAACAAGCTCAGGACATGGTGCTCAAATACAAGGAGGGACAACAAGGAATGTGACAAATCAAAATCAGTATGGCTTTCATGGCTGTCTCAGAGATTCCACTTAAGCACAGGCAGGGAGTTTATCTTCAGGTGAAAATGGCTGAAAGAAAGATCTGAAGGACAACAAAGAAATAATTTTTTGAAAAGCCAAAGCTAAGCACAAAGTTGAACATAGAGGGTGTGAAAGAAAAAGAATTCTTTTTCACTCACTAAAGGAAACTTCATTACCTATTGGCAGCTGTGATGGTGGTGGAGTCTCAGGTTCCAGGGCTGCAATAAAAGCAAGTATTATCAAAGGGGATGCTGATGAGCACCATTTAAGCTAGAAATTAAAGGTCCTTTACCATAACAAGTGTTCTCTCATTGGCGAACCATCAGGTTCTATTGGCTTATGAAATAAAGCTCAATCAGCCTGCAGCCTCTCCACAAACCACAACAGAAGAAAGAATAGAGAATTCTAATTTTTGTTGTTGATTTTTAGCTATTTTCCCCACTACTGTTTTTCATGCCTGAGGAGATATTAAAGGAAGTCTGTGTAGCCTCTCAGAGGTTGTTCACCTGCCATTTTATTTTCATGCAGGACAGTTGGTTTCACCCAAGAAAATGGGAAGAGGCAACAGACCCATCAGACCTGTGACCATGCCTGAGCTCTGTTAGTTTGGGATGATTTTCAACCTGACTGGATCTGATATTCTTTCACAAAAAATAGGAATGGAACTTACAGTCTAAAAAGGGCCACAAGCGTTCATACGGTGTTCCCCGTATTTACTAGTATCTATTGCTGGTGAACAAATTTACACATGATTTACACATGAAATTTATTCCATTTAAATTATCAAATCAATAGAAGTCAGAAAGTAGTCTCAGATTTCATCAAATGCTGAATAAATTGAATAACACTATTATATAAATATTCTGACAGATAAATTCTCCAATGCCATTCAGACTGGCAGTAAGTAAATTATATCTCATGCTGAATATAGTTTGGTTACAAAGTCTATTTGGGTTTTTTAAAAGAAGATCATCCAATAGAGGTTTCCTATTCTGTAGAACGAAAAGAATTCTTTTCTTTCAAGAAGAAAATAAACAAGGAAATCAGTTGTTGAAATACAAAACAAAGTGAATATTCTTTGACTTTTTTTTTCTTACAGAAAGAAACCAATTAATATGGCACCTACTGACCAGCTTAACAGAACTTAAATCATTTTGCACTTATGTATTCCTTATATTACATTTACCAGGGTTATCTCTGATATTTCTGGACTGGGGGTATGGAAAGTTTGGGGGAAGCATGTAGTGACTCTTTAGCAACTAAAAAAGAAAATATAATAATAAATAATTCAGATAGAGAATTTTCATTTATTCTGAATGCAAGGCATAATAGCACAAGGTGTTACTGAAACGTAGCATCATTCATTAGAATGTCTGTGGCCAAAAAAAAGAATTCTGATTTCTCAAGAACTTGTCAGAAATAGATTATAACAGATGAATGGCAGAGCTGCAGTGATGTACGAGATAGAAGTACACTAGGCAAAGTAAAAAAATGTATGTGTGGGAGGGGAGGGGGCGTGGCTAAATGTCAGTCTACAGGAGAAAGGGAAAATAAATAGTAGATAACAGTAATTAAACATAATAAATATCAAAAAGCATTCACATCTGAAAATAGCAAAAACCAAAAATTCTCTTGAAACTTTGAGGTTGTAATTCAGGTTTTAATTTCTACAAAGTTACCTTCTAAAAGTGTGAAAAAGTAAGATTTGGTACTTGTAGCATCTTTTAGCTTTCACAAAGATCAAAGAATGATGTCTTTTGAATTTTATAAAGAAAAATCAGCATTTTTAAGTTCCTGAGACTGAGGCCAAATAGGTATAGAGCCCCATCAATTAAGCTTCCAATTCACCTGAATATAAAAATATTAAAGTCAGTGTTTATTAAAAGTAAATACATCTTCTGATAAGACTTCCTCTATTTCATAGCCTTAAGGTATTACCGATAAAGGTACAAAAATGTTCCATAAAAAAAGCTGAGTGACATGCAAATAACTACACCACTCACCTCAGCACAAAACAAAGAAAACTAAAACCCTCTCATGGATTTGTGGCTAGCAATGAGTACAATTTACTATTCTGTCCACGGTGTCAGAGAAATGCATACAACAAACAGCTGTAATCAGAGGTCTCTCCCTTTTTTTCAGATCGTTAAAAGCTTGAAGAGCCAAACGTCATTACAATCTGAATAATTAACTATGAAGGAAACAATTCTTATTGGATGAGAGTTGGGACATGGTAGATGGCTGGGATTTTCAAGAAAGTGCTGGATTCTGTTTATAAAACAAACTAAAACCAATGTGGGTTTTTACTCGTTAGCTTAACCACAATGAAAAACCAAAGGAAAAGCAGCCTGTATGGAAAGTGAAACAGAAAAACAGGAGAGTGTGAGGAGAGGTCTGAGAAAGGCAACGAATGACTCCAATCAAAAAGCTTTTGATGGCTTATTTGCTCTCTTGAACCTTGGCAAGAAAAGAAGTATTTAGTAGAGCTATAGCGGTGGTTGCCATAAAATAAATACATTTTAAAAAGCTAAAACCCAAGCAATGGTTTATAGGGAACCAGTCATCACTCTATGTTGCCTCAGGCCACTCAAAGTCAACCTGAATTAGCTTAAGTTTAGGCACAGATTCTGAAGTGGTGATACTTGCTGTTAGGGGAAAAGTGGCTATTCTTAGGTGATTAGAAGGTAGAAATCAAAGGACTATAAACCCATTAGCTTCCAAATGATTTCCCCCATATTAAAGGGAAATGTCAAATTAAGAAATCTCTTTGCTCAAATACCTTAGAGTGATAAGAACACACTCTCCCACCTTGATTTGTATTAATGAATTTCTGCTCAGAAACATTTTATTCCCCCAGAAACCACTAAAAGTAATAATATAGCTTAGCATGAATAAATGGTAATAAACCTTAGGAGACATTTTTTGATGTTTTCAAATGTTACCTTGTAACAACAGAAATAATTAGATTGGAAAAACATTTACTTAAAGTTGGTGACCCCAAATGGCAGGGGGTGGTGGTGGGATGAATTGGGAGATTGGGATCGACATATATACACTAATATGTATAAAATGGATAACTAATAAGAACCTGCTGTATAAAAAATAAAATTCAAAAAAAATAAATAAAAAGTTGGTGACCCAAACATAGAGTAATATTTCTCGATCTGCTTGGTAATAGGTCCCTATTCAAAATACAGCTTAAATGTAAGAGTTACTACCTTATTCTAAAGTCCTCTGGGCATAATTTTAAAATAAATGTACATGAAATCCTTCTCTCAGATAGCTGACTGTCAGAGTTCTATGATTTAAACTGCTACGGCTCTTGAGTTTTATTAGCTATGCTTCTTTCTCCTAATAACCTCTCTGAGTTAGAATACTTCATTCCATTTCTCTGACGTAGAGACCTCACCTCTGGTCACAGCATCAACTATACTCCCTTTGCCTAATCCATAATTTCCTTCCCTCTGACACCTACAACACCTGGAAATCTCACTGCCTCTTTAAAAGGAGTCATGAGAATTCTCTCTCTGAGCAGTTACGCTTTTCTTCCTTACCCATGTCTTTGCAAAAAACAAATCATGCCCACTTAAGCAGAAAACCTCTTGCTTTAATAATCCTACCTTGTAAATACACATGAATGAAAAATCCATATTACAGTGAGAAATATATTCTTCCCAGAGCTAAGGGGTTAAAGTTTTGATGAAAATAATGAGTTGTGATGAAGTTCCCCATATACAATCTCATAAATCAACATTTCAGAACTGTTGTAGAGATTCTGGATAGATGGAAAAAACAATCTGATCATTTAACATGTCCTGCAATCCTCGCGCAGGGAATTGTCTCTGTTTTTAATTACATACACAGGATAACCCCTCCCTGCAAAAAAAGAAGAAGAAAAAAAGCCTCTTTTCTTCAGCAAAACATCATTAATGTCTCCTGAGAAGTAAACAGAAGTCAGTGTTCGGAAATCAGACCCAATTTAGGAAGAAGTCATAGAACATTAGGGAAATACAACCATTGCTAGTCATGCAGCCTGAGAACTGAGAAGGCCCCAAACAAGGCAGAGTTCTTAGGGGATGGAAAGACTTCTCCACTTCTCAGCTGAAAGGCTACTGTTTAGTGTGATCTGAATTCCAATCAACTTTGGCACTGGAAACTATTTCACAGTCCTAGACAAGGGAGTCCTCAATCCTTCCCACCACTCTATTTCTGTGCTTTCTCTGTGATGGTCATGAACATAATGAAACACCACACAGCTCAGAGAGATGCTATGATAATATCAGAGGAGTCGGCTGTAAACGACATCATTTCATCACACTTTCACTCTTTTCATGGAAAGTTATATCAAATACCAAGATGCAAATCAGAAGTTCTTGCTCCAAAGAGTGGCATAAAATAATTTTTCAACCCTACTTTTGGAATATCAAAATAAAGCTCAAGGTAATTACCAGGTTTGGTGTGTGTCACTTCTGGACTGAGAGGGATTTTAGGTTTCAAAGAAATAAACTGTGTTTTACTGGGAGCTGGAAAAATAAAGAAACAAAATAATCAACAAATCAATAATTAGTCATTTCAGTGTCTAAAACCGCAAAAGGAAAACCTATACCTCAAGTGCTATAAACCCATCATCTTGGATGATTTTGGATTCCATTAAAATAATATTTCACAGAGCACCATTTAATGAAAATACAGTAATAAATTTTCATCTTTTTGAAAAAGTATTTCAAGAGAAATAGCATTGTCACTAGTCACCACAACTACCCCAAAACAGTGATTTTAACCCATGATTAGAAAACCCAAATCAGTGTAATGATTTTACACCTTATTTCACATTTCTCAGCCGCATCTAAATCTTTAAGCACCAGAAAAATGTTTTAAAATTAATATTTACTGATAGGTATAATGTTATGATAAAGAAATTTTACTAATGCCATAACAGAAAGCTGTTTTGCCAAATGAAGTTGAACTTGAGGGCCTTACTCAAAAAAATGAAGAACTGTGTATAAGATGCAGCTTTAAAAACAATGGTTGCATAGAAGATGAGAAATCATCAGTGGTTTAACGGCTCTCCAAGGTACAGGATGATGTCTAAATGCTGAGTTCACATCAACCACCACACGGTCAGCTATCTAAAACCATGAAAGTCATGGAGTTGATGTGCACTATGATATAATTTAGTACTGCTGAAATGATCCAATTAGAACAGTGATTGAGACATTACATAAAAGCTGGCATACTGGACTTTCTGTGGTGAAATGAAGTGACATATTTACTAAGGACATATTGTTACCCAGTGTTGTCCGTGTAGGTTCAGGGCTTTTAGAAATTTTAGATGTAATTGTTCCAGGACTTGTGGTTCTTTCTGGTGGTGGAAAGGAAAAAAAAAAAAAATTAAAATATTCTAGAGACAATAAAAAAAAAAACAATCCTCCAAAGAGGAACTGAATGACCTTTTTAAAATCCTGTAATATTTAGTCAGTGTTTACAAAGTATGCAGTGAGTAAAAGTTTGGGGAAAGAATTTTAAAATTTAGTCATAATAGTATAGCTATAAAAAAATTGTAATAAGCAATGGAATAATCAAAGCCTGGTTTGTTGAGCATGATTCTGAGTATACTCTTTGACAATGAAGAGTATCACATCCAGGTTGATAAACTACCTTTACCTCAAACTGTGCCATAATATATGTTGTTCCCCTCTCCTTTTCCTCTAAACCCTACACGTATTCTGAGGCTTACATCCTCAACTCTTACTTTCTTTTTCTGAGCTTCCACACAGTATTATAGTTTCACAAGCAGGTTGTATAGTCTTACATTGCTCTCATTGTTCATGATATAATCTTAAAAAAAAAATACAAGCAATTGGAAAGCCAGAGTCATGTCCTCTGCATCTCAGCCATCGTCCTAGTGCAAAACTGAAAACATAGTAGTAGGCAACGAAAACAGGAACTGTCTGCCTAATAACACTTCAACTCAGATGCATGCCAGGAAAATAAATTACAGTATATATCACTGTGACAATAGGACTTGTTTCTATGTTTATACAAAAATTTGCATACAAGAACATCATTCACTAAAATTGATCTAACAAGAAACAGCAGCATATTACTTAGAAATCTGGAGGTAAATACAAAAGAAACATGCTAAAAAATTGGAGAAGGGGTCTCAAGGGTAGAATAGGGTAGGGCAGTGGACTCCTCTTGTTCAATCTAAGCCTTGTAGTACTTAAAAAAAAAAAATCTTTACGTATTACTTTGATTAAAGAAGAGTATTTCCCAGAAAAAAAGAACATCATTCACATAATTTTCAATAAGATCTTATTGAAAATGTTTGATCCTTGTTATTTTGCATTAATTATTCATCTTCAGTCAATTCCAAATTTTACAGAGAATGTTTAATCTATAGAATCGCTTCTTTTTATAAGTAGATGGACATTATCTATTTGGAATTAAATATCCTGAAAGGTTAAAGAGACAGTTATTTACCAGGTTTAGTTCTTGGTGTTTTGGGCCTGAAGCGTCGTTTAGGTGTAGAAGGGACAGATGTAGTTTGCAGGGGAGCTGAAAGAAGATTTAATATAGCTTTGATAAATGGTATTTCCCAGGGGTCAATCAGATTGTAACTGTAAACTTGTAAACTTCCTGAGGGCAAGAACTGCTTTTTATTTCTTTGTATCCCTAGAATGCCTAGCACTGTGTTTTATACACAGTAGGTGCTCAATAAGTAAGTGTTGATTGAGTCAAAGAAATTAAATTCTATATGAGAATTGAAGGTACATTGTTCACTTAACTGTACTGAAAAGGGAGGACCCTTGTGGGATTTAAGAACACAAGGTACAGTTAAGAACTCAAAAGGTGATTTAGTGAATAGCACGGGAGAAGCACAAATAGTTGAGATTTAGAGAATGGAAGGTTCAGAACTTTTTAAATTCTATATCTCACTACTAACCTCACCAGGAGTTAATGAACTTCATTATTCCAATAATTTTCTATTATAGAATATATGTTGTTTTACTCTTTTATTCACCTCTATCATATCCAGGATTGCAGAGCCTACTTGGTGCTCTTTATACTTAGGCTACTTGGAGAAAAATAGTCTGATCAAGTGGTATCTAAATATGCTAATTGAAGGGAATGTATTTTAAAATAATTATTATCTATAATTTTGTTGTTATTTTCCAGTGGCAAATTTGAAAGAAGTATAGGGAATAACAAGAAGGGAATAATACTTCAAAATAATGTATGCAAAGGCTGAATTATTATGTCATACACCTGCAACTAATGTAATGTTATATATTAATTTTACCACAATTAAAAAAATACAGAGACACCAAGATTATGAAAATTCTTTGAGGATTATCACAAGGCTAAGTAGGACAGATAACCCAGTTCTTTGAAGAATTTCATGGTAGAGAATGAAGGGAAATGTTTACTACTGAAAATATTCTGAAAAGGCCAACACATGACTGATTCTTTTCATCACTTTATCCATTCTTTCAAAGTACACAACTATACGGATGTCATTAGTTACCAAGTGTTGTAGGTTGCATTTCAGGACTGGTAAAGATTTCCAGTTTTTGAGGAACGAATGGTGTTTCACTCGGAGCTGAAAACACAAACACCCCATCCCACCAAATAATTCCAGTTAAAATGAGGTATTTTAAGTGTTTCAGCATGCTTTTAGATGGTGTTACAAAGCACATGCTACAAGGACATGATTAAGGATGAAAAATGCATGAATGTTGTCTTGAAAGCTGGTGGATGAAATGATAATTTAAAGTGGAGAAAAGGTCAGAATGAGATTGTTCAGTAGCTGACTCCAGGCAGACTCAATGCATGGAAGAGAGGTGATACAGGCCACAAACACACGAGATGGGGGGATATGGATGATGAAGATGTCCATGCAGTTTTCAAAGATTTTCATTCCTTTAAGGATGGAAAAAATACCATCTATTATGATTTAAAAAGAAAAAAGAGAGAGAGAGCCCAAAATGGAACATAGGAAGCCTGCATACAGGAAAAAATATATATTATATTCAGAAATAGGAAAGAAATAAATGATTAGATGTGATGGTATTAAATGGTCATTTGGAAGAATGGCATTTACATGGATTTTCTTTCGATGGAAAACAAGGCACAATTTTTCTGTTAAAAACATTACCCAGTGTTGCCCTTGGCTGTTCAAGAGTTCTAGAAGTTTTAGATGGGACAGAATCCAGAAATGGGTCACTTGTTGCTGTTGGAATAAATGTCAACATTTTTAAAAGCAGTAGAAGGCCCCAGGAATAAAATACAAATTCCAGAGTAATAAATTATGCCTCAAATGGGGAAAAACATCAAGAACACTTGAGAGACTGCTGACCAACATTTTAAAACTAGTGATTCATCAGGAGTTGAAGATGACCTCATTTTTAAAAACATGCAAACTTCAAATGTTAAACCATGATAAAACAATGTTTCATATATTGAACTGTTTTCAAGTGGTTTTTCTGGTTCCTTCCCTCTGTTTCTTAAACTGCTAGCTGAATCTACTCTTAGTATTCTATTTCATTTCTTAAAATTTTATGCTGCTTTTTAAAATTATTTGCCTTTATTTATCATGGCACCAAGAGTTAAGATAAGGCTACACACACACACACAGACACACACACACAAATACCAGACACACGTCTTTGTGTGGCAGAGACCAGTATTATTTACTTTGAATCTCCTGCAGTACCTAGTTTAGTAAGTGCTCAATAAATACTTGCTAGAAGGAACTATTGGACTGAATTAAATTCACTGTAGATAGATCAGTAAGTGAATGCCAAAGATTAGACCCAACTGAACTTCTATAGACAAATGAGTGACATGATTGCTCTAGAGACGGATTTTTCACCTTGGCACTATTGCCCTTTAGGGCTGGATGGCTCTTTGGTGTGGGAGCTGTCCTGTGCGTTGCAGGGTGTTTAGCAGCATCCCTGGCCTCTACCCACTAGATGTCAGTAATACCTTCCCCAGATACCAAAAGTATATCTAGCCATGGCCAAATGTTTCCTCAGGGGGAAGGGAGCAAAATCACCCCCACTGGAGAACCACTACACCAGGGAAAACTAAGAATCTAAAAGCTTTTTAGAATGACTCTGAACAACAGAGAGATAGGCCATTATTTTACTGTGCCTCAGTGGCAACCTAATCTATCTGCATCTCCCACATGTGGCAGAGTTTATTTACTGATGGATGGGAAGAAATAATCATTCAATGGGAGAGGTGGGTAGAATTCATCTCCCTGCCACAGACTGCCATGTCTCTCCTGTGGAGCTCTAGAGAGCGCACTTTTTCATTCTGCAAAAATGAAAGGGAGAACTAGGTGCAGTATTGTCAGAATACCTGGCATCCAAAAAAAGAATTGAGAGGCTGGGTGTACCTGTGTGGGGCTCTGATATTTCAGGCTCATCTGATGTTGTAGGGCTTGAGAAAACATCATAAGTGGCTTTTAAAAGAAAAGGTAAAACAAAAAAGAAGATGTTAATTTTAATTTTAAAAGATTTCATGACATATTTTCATGCTGGCTGAAAGAGGACATTATCATGTAGGTGTTAGTGAGCTTTGGCTGTGGGCTACTGGTCATGTCAGCAACGTGTAAGCAATCACTAAAAGACTTACCTCTAGTCCTTCTTGCCCTGAACTAAAGGCCTTTATGCAGTGAGCCCTGACACTGACCCCTAGGGTGATGTGAGCATAGTGCTATTTACAAGGAAGTGGTGCCAGCTGTAAATCAAACAGCTTCAAAGAGTACAAACATAAATGAAATCAGACGGCAATTTGAGATTTCCAAAGAAGGAAACAGCAGTCACACTGAGGAAATTTGCACAAAGACTACAGCTTAGTCTTTGTACTTAGTAAAAGTTACCATAATAATGTCTGGATAGTACTTTACAGTTTGCACAGCACTTTGCAGGTTGCACAGCACTTTATAGTTTGCACAGCGTTTTCTCATATATCAACTTATTTAACTCTCTTAACATCCCTGAGAAATAGGTGAGGTAGACATTAGCCCCATGTTATAGACAATGGGGTAGTATCTCCATTTTCTAGATGATATAATTGAGATTCACTGGGGAGACGACATTTGCTAGTGGTCACGCACGGGGACTGTCAAATTCGACATATTTCCCATTCCATTAGCAGGGCCAGGAATGGCAGAGTTAAGACCAGCACCTTCATCTTGTACCATCCTTCCTGCCATTTTACCTAGAGGCAGCTTTCTACGTTCCTCCATGGAGCCAAGAGCCCATCTATAATCTAGGTGGGTTTAAAGATAAGTTTTATATTCTACATAAAGAAAAGTAGGGTGACCTTAAAAATACAGCTTGATTTTAATGTAGGGATAACTTTCACGCTCACTTAAGAATTGAATTTGCAAGCAAAAACAGCATCAAAATTAGAAAGTTCCCATTTCTGTACAAAGAGCTGTCACCATGGTAATGAGAGGTATAGAGGAAGCATGAACTGTCAGGAGGCAGGTGTCACTTCCCTTGCCCATTGAAAACGGCTGTACAGAAATAAACTATAAAGGCAGGAGCGCATGGAAAAATTTACACATTGGGGCTACTTGTAATTTAGTGACAATGTAATGATACTGAACCGTTGCTAGTTTAAGCTGTAGGGAAGCTAAGATCAGAGCATGCGACACAGTCTGATATGCAGAGAGGGTAATTATATTGCACTGCATACAAAAGAGACAGGAAATATATTTCAGTTTGTGAAGGTGAATCTACTGCTTTGCAAAATCTTCAAAAACAGAAAGAATATTATGAATTAAAATATGCAGATATCCCAAGAGTAAATTTATTACCTTGCAATGTAAAGTTTTCTTTAGTCTAGCTACAGTTTTAAAGGGTCAGATAAGAATGACTCATCTTTTAAAGGACAAAAATGTTGGCAGCTGCTGATCTTAGGTTCACTTTAAGCCAATTTCTAATCATGGATCCAGCAAAGTCAGCTCGCTCTAACTACTAGACAAATCAGGAAAACTTTACCAACTTGTATTTAAACCCCTTGTACTAGGTAAGAAAATGTGAATTAATAGCTGACTTATTTATATTTTATATTGTTGCTTTTGTAAAACACCACACTATCTTTCTGTTATCATAACTCCCACATTTCCCTTCCATCTAGTGACATTGGACCAACTTTCTTATATTCTTGTACTCTATTCCAAGAGATGATATTTATTCACCCTCTTCCTACTTCTTTTCCATATTAACAAGGCCCTTCCATCCTGGAGGTTCCAAGCCAGGCCTCCATCTTCCCTCAAGTTATTCCCAGAAGACACTGTCCTGGAGAAAGAATCCCTCCTTCCATCATCCTCTGGCAATTGTGACTCATGTCTGAAAGTTCCCAACTGTCAGGGACCTCTTACTTCCAGACATTTTCTCAAATATAATTAAGATTAAAATCACACGTTTGCCAGCAGGTTTGGTCCCTGATATTTTTATTTCTGGAGTTTCTGATAGCTGAGTGCTAAAAACACACAAACACCACTCGCTGGAAGTTTTATGCTGTTTGGGCAGCTCCGAGAAACACATACTAAGTCATTTCATGGGTTAAACAATAGTTTTTGACTCTGAAGTAATGGATGTCAGAGGACAGGACAGGGTGGAAACTGGAGTTCTCCAAAAATCAACCACTCTTGACTTCTTTACAAAACTCTTGATACAAACAGATGGAAAGATATACCATGTACTTGGATTGGAAGAATCAATATTGTGAAAATGACTATACTACCCAAAGCAATCTACAGATTCAATGCAATCCCTATCAAACTACCAATGGCATTTTTCACAGAATTAGAACAAAAAAATTCACAATCTGTACGGAAACACAAAAGACCCAGAATAGCCAAAGCAGTCTTGAGGGAAAAAAGCGGAGTTGAAGGAATCAGGCTCCCAAACTTCAGACTATACTACAAAGCTATAGTAATCAAGACAGTATGGTACTGGCACAAAAACAGAAATACTGATCAATGGAACAAGATAGAAAGCCCAGAGATAAACCCATGCACCTATGGTCAACTAATCTATGACAAAGGAGGCAAGGATATACAATGGAGAAAATACAGTCTCTTCAATAAGTGGTGCTGGGAGAACTGGACAGCTACATGTAAAAGAATGAAATTAGAACACTCCTTAACACCATACACAAAAAAAACCTCAAAATGGATTAGAGGCCTAAATGTAAGACCGGACACTATAAAACTCTTAGAGGAAAACATAGGAAGAACACTGTTTGACATAAATCACAGCAAGATCTTTTTTGATCCACCTCCTAGAGTAAGGGAAATAAAAACAAAAATAAATAAATGGGACCTAATGAAACTTCAAAGCTTTTGCACAGCAAAGGGAACTACAAACAATATGAAAAGACAACCCTCAGAATGGGAGAAAATATTTGCAAACGAATCAAGAGACAAAGGATTAATCTCCAAAATATATAAACAGCTCATGCAGCTCAATACTAAAACAACAAACAACCCAATCCAAAAATGGGCAGAAGACCTAAATAGACATTTCTCCAAAGAGGACATACAGATGGCCAAAAAGCACATGAAAAGCTGCTCAATGTCACTAATTGCTAGAGAAATGCAAATCAAAACTACAATGAGGTATCACCTCACACCAGCTAGAATGGGCATCATCAGAAAATCTACAAACAACAAATGCTGGAGAGGGTGTGGAGAAAAGGGACCCCTCTTGCCCTGTTAGTGGGAATGTAAATTGCCCCAGCCACTATGGAGAACAGTATGGAGGTTCCTTAAAAAACTAAAAACAGAATTACCATGTGACCCAGCAATCCCACTACTGGGCTTATACCCAGAGAAAACCATAATTCAAAAAGACACATGCACCCCAATGTTCATTGCAGCACTATCTACAATAGCCAGGTCATGGAAGCAACCTAAATGCCCATCGACAGATGAATGGATAAAGAAGATATGGTACATATATACAATAGAATATTACTCAGCCATAAAAAGGAATGAAACTGGGTCATTTGTAGAGACGTGGATGGATCTAGAGACTGTCATACAGAGTGAAGTAAGTCAGAAAGAGAAAAACAAATATTGTATATTAATGCATATATGTGGAACCTAGAAAAATGGTACAGATGAACTGGTTTGGAGGGCAGAAATTGAGACACAGATGCAGAGAACAAATGTATGGACACCAAGGGGGGAAACTGGTGGGGGGAGGTGTGGTGGTGTGATGAATTGGGAGATTGGGATTGACATATATACACCAATATGTATAAAATGGATAACTAATAAGAACCTGCTGTATAAATAAATAAATAAAATTTTAAAAAACCCCAAAGAAACAAAAACCCCCACAAAACTCTTGTAAATATACTTCTTTCTATACCAGAATGAAACACAGGAAATGCTTAAGTATCCCTGTTGTTGTTGTTTTCTGCGGTACGCGGGCCTCTCACTGTTGTGGCCTCTCCCGTTGAGGAGCACAGGCTCCAGACGCACAGGCTCAGCGGCCATGGCTCACGGGCCCAGCCGCTCCGCAGCATGTGGGATCCTCCCGGACCAGGGCACGAACCCGTGTCCCCTGCATCAGCAGGCGGACTCTCAACCACTGTGCCACCAGGGAAGCCCGGTATCCCTGGTTTTTAAAGGGCTTCTCCAGCTATAAAATTGATAAATAGCTAAGAGGGGTAAACCCTCCTATTTTTTAGACTCTACATGCCATCATGCATTATTGTTTAGAGGCAAACATCTTCTGTCACCCATGTTTACTTTAGTGGTGACATTCTCCAGCCATCTGTCATTAAGCACTCTTTCTAATCTTGCATTCACAGAATATAAATGGGACCAAAATTTGTAGGAGAAGTCTAATGCTAGTAAAATAGGCAGTTCAATTCAAAGGCTATAAAAAGCAATTTTAGTTTCTTTCAAAAACAGTAATGGCTTATAATCACGATAACTAAATTTTATTTTTATATTTTTCAGAGAAAAAATAATATGAAATAAGCCACACTACAATTTTCTCATCTGCTTATAACTTCCTAAAACTACATTGCTAAATTATGTTTTGTTGGCTGTACATTTTATTTTTACTTTTAAAAAACTGATTAGATGCAAATTCCATAATAAAAATACTTTGATATTGCTCTGGAAACATATGATGGCACACAGACAAGGCCTTTACAATGATCAAGAATTCATCAATTTATCTTATTCAAATTCCATGAATATTAATAACTGTGTGAAAGACTTTTTTGTTGGACTGTTTCTAAATTTATTATTTTTTTTATTGAAGCATAGTTGATTTAAAATGTGCTAGCTTCTGGTGTATAGCAAAGTAATTCATATATATATATATATATATGTATTTTTTCAGATTCTTTTCCCTTATAGTTTTTTAACATCTTTATTGGAGTATAATTGTTTTACAATGATGTGTTAGTTTCTGCTTTATAACAAAGTGAATCAGCTATACATACACATATATTCCCATATCTCCTCTCTCTTGCATCTCCCTCCCACCCTCCCTTATAGTTTATTACAAGATATTGAATATAGTTCCCTGTGCTATACAGTAGGACCTTGTTGTTTAACTCTTTTTTTTTTTTTTTTGCTGTACGCGGGCCTCTCACTGTTGTGGCCTCTCCCATTGCAGAGCACAGGCTCCGGATGCACAGGCTCAGCAGCCATGGCTCACGGGCCCAGCCGCTCCACGGCATGTGGGGTCTTCCCGGACCAGGGCACAAATCCGTGTCCCCTGCATCGGCAGGCGGAATCTCAATCACTGCGCCACCAGGGAAGCCCCTAACTCTTTTATATATAGTAGTTTGTATCTGCTAATCCCAAACTCCTAATTTATCCCTCCTCACCCCCTTTCCCCTTTGTTAACCATAAGTGTTTTCTATGTCTGTGAGTCTGTTTGTTTTGTAAGTTCATTTGTATCATTTTTTAGAGTCCATATATAAGTAGTATCATATGATATTTGTCTTTCCCTGTCTGACTTACTTCACTTAGTATGATAATCTCTAGGTTCATCTATGTTGCTACAAATGGCATTATTCCACCTTTTTTTTTTTACGGTGAATAATATTCGGCTGCATATGTATAAAGACTCCTTTTTAAACATAAATTCTTAGATGAAAGACCTCATGACCTCATTAGGATAGAAATTGTGCCTGTCATGCTCTTTATGGGCTTCAAGGTTTACCCCAGAGGCTTGTACATGGGAAGACTCGATGGAATTAATT